ATAGCCACAAGAGGCAGCAACAACAATTAAAATAAAGGCAGCGACAACAGCAATCAAAAGAAACATCTGATGAGGGAACATAAATAATGAATTAAACAATCGCATTCGTCGCATCGCATCGCATCGCACATGCAGCTGAATGTAATATATTACGATGTATTCTATATACTCTATGTATCTATCAGGTTCAAATGCATAATTTACTTACATAAATAAACAATTTAAAAGGCTATAACATCTTGCAATTATTTTAAATTGCATTTACCTATACATGCATTTAAAGAGTAAATAATAAATTAGAAATAGAATAAACAAAGCATCTTCTAAAGGGCATTCTTCTATCGTTTTAGTAAAAGTCTTGCTAGTTTCATCTCTTGTTCAAATTCATTATTATTAATTATAGCAGAGCACACGCGACAGAAAAGCAATTGTAAACCTTATCCAATTTAATCCATAAAATATGGTTAAACAATTCCTTCAGTCGTAAAACTCAAACTTGAATATCGAATGCATTAGCATAATCGAATTAAAACGAAAAGGAAAACTTTTGTTCTATTTCGAATCTCTCACGCCCATAAATCCGAAATTGCATGCCAATTGTTAATAAATATTTATTAAAATGTGTTTTACACACTTTTCATTGTGCATTCATTGGAAATTCAAAGCTTCCCTGGACTAACTAAGCTCAAATCTGTGTGCAAAAACTTAATTCGTTTATTAAGCCTCTGGCATCACGCCAATGTTTTTAGTTTGTGTTTAGAGCGCCGACTTGTCGGTAGAATCCGCGGAATGAACGATCCCCCTCCTGGAGGTGCTTCTGTCTCAGTGAACTCAGTGCGAAAACGAAAGTGCACTTTAGTTGATACCCATCAGTATTTCCTGAATGCAAATTATACTGCCTTGACTTCTGAATTGAAGTCAGTCGGAGTTCCCTGCTAATTGAGATTTCTGTGCGCGTATCTGGCGGCTATAAGTGATCGTAAACCACATTAATATCGGCAACAGAATTCTATATAAATAGCCAAGGCCTTCGGGCAATTCAGGTTCATTAGTGCAAGTGATATTCCAGAGACAAGCTGAAAAATTGTGCAATATTTTGTCCTTAAACTTAGTGAATTTGATCCGAGGGAAGCTGCTGGGTAAGCTTTTGATTACAATAAATAAAAATATGAAGATTTAAATAAATAATAGCAAGCTTGGATTTCATATAAGTAAATTTATTTGAAGTAAATAAAAACGTACCCTTTTCATATATACATGGGTTTCTGGGAAATATGAAGGGTATATCTTTCGCATTTAATCATATATGAAACACATTTAAGTTTTCTTACTATATTTAAGTAAATTCAACACACTTTTATTTAAATGAATATATGTATATTTATATAAAGGCTTTACCTTTTTATTTACCCAGATAACAAGCCCTAGCAAACTTCCCATTACCATTAAAAGTGTAATTAATTGTCAAACTGCTTGTCAACCCCAAGTAGATGCTAATTAAAATGATACCATTTTTTTACTGCTATAACTACTGCAACAGCTTTGTTTTTCCGCATTTAATTCGAGTTGATTTGAGTTGATTTAATCAATTAAAATAACAAATTCGTGGCTGCTGTTTGCAACGCCCCCCAAACGTGTTGCAGTCAGTCAGAGGAACATTTGTCATTCAATGAGAACACTTTGCCTGCTAGGACGTCATAGATACAATCAATATTCTCAGATCGGACAGCCATCAATTGTAATTTACTCGAGTGGGAAGATGAGACCTGCTCAATTGCAGAAAATATGTTTCCCCTTGATTCATCTTTCAGCTTCAATTAGCAGAGCCTTTTTGCTATTAATTGTGCGATAATTCAATTTTACAAGCCGTAAACTTAAAGAAGTCGGAGAAGTTTCGGCGAAAGACCGCTCCTTTGTGCGCCTTTCTAAGCGAATTATGTTCTCTAATTCAATTTGCGCCTTGGCGTTAGGCAACGCCAAATGTTCGAATGACAAATGTTGCGCATACGCCTCGTTGTGTGTATGTAAGTGTACGAGGTGGAAGGCAATTAAATAAATATTTAAATTGTGTATGATTCAATTAGAGTTGAGTTACCGTGTGAAAGATACTTTTTAATTCGTATCCCAAGACTTGTAATTTATTTTTAATTAGCGAAAATCATTGAGGCATAAAGCGAGCGTGAGACTGACTGGACTGGCAATGGGAACAGGGATGGAGCTTGACGTCTGGGAGTGGGAATAATACGAGACCGAGCATCCAAGCTGCTTATGCCTTCCTCTTGATTTGATTACATTTTAAAAAGACAATCGGCTTATGAGTAATAAGAGGAAACTGCCTTATATTCCATAGCAACCAGCGGCTAGCGACGCAATGCAATCATCGACCGATGCGGGCAATGGTGGACCAAGAAAATACACGCCAGCACAGAGCACAGCCCAGCAGCAGCAGTCGGAGATTAGCGAGACCACCTCCTTCACCGTAAACGCCGGCAACAACCAACAGCAATCACATCCCTCCGGCGGCGGTGGCAGCAGCAACACCCCCAGCAAGAATCCCTTCAAGCAACAGTTGGACAGCAGCCAGCAGAATGGCAACATGGACCAGGACTGCCCGGGGATACTGGGCGTCGGCAAGGAGCCGCCGGCACCGCCACCGCCCACGTATCAGTCACAGTCCTTTGCCGGAAGGCAGCCACCGCCGCCGGCGGATCAGTACCGGCAGGAGGATCCACGCGCTGCCGGGTCCTGGGCCGCCGCCAAGTCCTGGATGGTCAGCTGGCGTGGCTCCAATCGCCTGGTGCTTGTCATCGTTGCCATAGCCCTGCTCCTCGACAACATGCTGCTGACCACAGTCGGTGAGTTCACCTGCGACTTTTACTTAGAAAGAAACATACGTATATAAATGCGTTCGCATAAATCTTTTTTCCCCTGGAGCCCATTAGCATTTCATGAGCTTTTATCTCTCAGAGGGGGTTCTGCTGGTTATCCTGGCAGTCAATCGCCTGGAAATTGTCCATTTCCCAGGAGGTTGCGGGAAAAGTGTGAGGCCATAAAATTACCACAGAGCACCACTTAAGCTAATGAACGTTTTCCTGTCAATGCGCCTTGTCAGCTCTTTGTCAGTTCATCAATTTCGAGTCGTGGCAATCTCTGGATTAAAGCCAGAGATTCCTCAAAATAACATAGCTCTCTGATCATTTTACTAGGAGGTGTGTAGCCCTAATTTATGTTGAAAACCCCTGCAATTAAATAGAATCCCCGAGAACAACTAATCAATGCTCAAGTGGCTCTCCTGCTTAGTCATTAACAAGGACCAGTGACCAATGGACCAGACTGAGTTCGGCAGCTCCAAGTGGCCGGGCAGTCGACAGTCAATTAAGTAGACACGCATCGGCTGCCGAGCTGCTGGAGAACCAATGTCCTGCGTTTGACACTAAAACCCAACCCAACAGGGGATGGAGTATGAGGGGGAGAGAGATCTCTGGGGATGGACACTGGACGGTGCGGTGGCCAAGTGCTTGTGTCAAGTGTCTGGCCAAACACATGGACATTGAGTGGAAATCCTCCAGGCCTCGCTCTCCACTTTTCCTGACAAATACAGCCAGGCGAGGGAAAACCCCCCAAAAAAAGGAAAATAGGAAGCGAGCGGTACGAGAACTTTCTTTGTGATAAACGTTCATGAATTTAAATCAACAAGTTGGTCGAAAAAAAAACCCAAAAGGAAATAGCCGAACCACTTGAGCAACTTGTTGAGAGCACGCGGAAGTGAAAGTCAAAGGAAAAAGTGGGAAAACTATTAGCTCCATGGAAGACGAAGTTCGGGTTTCTTTTCGTTTCCCTTCTGCTGACAGTCGGATGGATGGATGAATGGGGGAATGGGGAAGGACTCGGGCTTTTAGCGTTTGACTCGAGGCATTTCCACTTAAGTGCTTTTCCGTCTCGCGCCCGTTTCAAGGTGCTGAAGCGAAAATTGCTGCAAATACATTTGATTATTACATTTGATCTCTGACCCAGCCTCCTCTTACATACATATATATATATTTTTGTTTCCATATCTTTCTTTTCCCTTGTGAATCGCATAATATGCTCATAAATTAGATTTAGCCAAGGAGCCTGTAGAGATTTATATAGGTCAGGGCCTTATCCGTTTGACTCGATGCCAAATTGAATATGCAATAAGGTTTTTCTTGTTTTATTGAAGAAGATTGAATAATAGTAGCTTAAATAGGGTTCACAATGCTGCAGGGATAAGGGGTATATATAAAAGGGATATGGTACATTGGCATTGCCTGGCCTGCTTGGTATGCAAATATTGTGTCTTAGGAAAATCCTTTGGGAGGGTGCTAAAAGAGCAATTGCCAGACTTACATGTTAGTAATACTTATTCAATATATTTTAAAGGAAACTGTAAATGTTCGTTTGTTGACCGTGGATTTTATGGTTTTCTTTGATTTGGTATTTAAACATTAACATAAAGGATCCAAGAAATGATTTGTAACGCCAAATGTTGGGGTGTTTCCTTGAGCATTGCGGTTTATTTATGGTTTTAAAAAACTAAAGAAATCATGATAAATAATAAATCATGATAATATTTAAATTCTTTGTTGAACTTTTTATAGAGTAATTGATAAAAACAAGCTTATTTTTTTATGTTTCGTGAACAAAATAAGGAGGGTAATGTTATTGTTTTAAGATGATAAATAGTAACATATCTTAAGGAAACTTCGATTTAAAAGAAACCTTCTTATTTTGACAATTGGCTTGGAAAATTAATGTAGTTAAAGATAAAGCTATAAAGCTTCAAAAACTTCCGAAATGGGTTGAGGTAAAAATACGGGTGCATTTTTTTAAATTAAATAAATAGATAAATAATAAGAAATCCTCCACGCCAAGCAAAAGTTGGACTTATCCTACCTTAGCCTAAAAATGTCAAAAATTGCCTTTCAACCTTACGGACATCACAATGATTAAGTATAGATTATCCTCTGGACTTGGGAGCTCTATTTTCCAAGCTGCGGCTTCTCCGATACGGAGGCCACGTCCACGGTCTCCAATTTCTCCAGGCAAACTCCCACGGGACGCCTGGTGGGCGTGGTGGCCAACGAGCGAGATTTCATGACACTTCCGCCCGCTGCTGCTGCTGCTGCTGAGGGCAGGAGGTGATCAAGTTCTACGGATGTGGATCCCAAAGCCTCCTTGGAGAGCGAGGCGCTGCGGGAGAAGGGAAAGTAGGCATTCAGCTGACGCTCCAGCACATCCTTGTTGATGCTCGTCTCCCAGATCTGCTTCTGGATGATGCTGCTGTACCGTGCCTCGAAGCTCTGTTGGTGGCGCAGCAGCTCCGCTGCACCGGCTCGTCCGCCCCGTGGACGCTCGCGCTCCCGTTCCGCCGGCGTGGGCGTGGCCGGCTTGAGGGGACTGCCCAGGGAGTCTTCGTCGGTGGACATGCCACACTACTAATGGCCGGAAAATTAAAATGCGCCGTGGAAAAACTTTGCTCGTTATGGAAGTATAGACGAACTTCGAGACACAGTCGTATGGAGGAACCTGCCGCGTCCGTTGCAGAAACGCGAATAAGTCACGGCAGGCGGAGCGGCTCGTCTATAAGTCGTCCGATGCCGCCTGTTATGTGTGCAATCCATATCCATCCACGAGGGCCGAGTATTGTTGCGCATTTTCTTGCGAAACAAGGAAAAGTCAAACGTCAGGGCGGCCCGAAAGTTTTTGCCTCCAAAAAAAGAAGTAATTGCTCCCCCTTTGTCTTTTGGCTTGCCTTGAAGTTGGCAAAGTTTTCCCTTGCGGGTTTTTTTTTATTTTATCCTCCCCAACCAGACCCATTTAGGCAAAGGTCACAATCGTGTGCGGCTTTTTTTGGTGTCGTTTGCTGTCATGCCAGACGCAATGACTCATTGAGCTTTTTGCTTACAGCCCACAGGAAAAAAAAGAAGGGGAAAACAAGTGTACCGATCAGGAAATACCCGGCAAACAGTATTGCCTACTTTTTGGGGCCTGTGTAAAGGACTTCAATTTGAGAGGAAATAGAAAGGTCTTGTGACCGTAGTACTTAAGATATCAATATAATATTTGGTATATGAATAGCTAAAACCTAAAACCTTTTAAAAATTTATATAGACTTTTTATTTAAGAAGCAGGACTTAAGTTATTTTGCAGTGTATCTAAACCTGTATCCATATCGTTACCTGTATATCCGGTTCGTTGTATTGAAAACGAATCTAAACACCGACGCGTCAGTCATAAAATAATACGATGACAACGACAACTTTCCACATGTGCCAAAGAAGACAGTTTAGCTTCGGGTGTTGCTTGCATGACGCTTGATGGATATCCAGGGAATCTCCCTCGCAACGGTTGACAGTTGTTGTCCCATTACACTGATGGATATGTAATGTCCATAATTAGTTTACGACTGTTTACGTTCTGCCTGTCGTAAGACCCATAAAAGTAGTAGTAGTTGCCAGGATAGAGTTGGAGGAATCTTCTAGAATAAACTTGAACTCAAACTCGCATAAACATTGATACCTTTCTCCATACCTTTATCTGAATTAAGGAGTAGTAACTACTTAATACTTCTCCAAAGAATATAATTCTCAACGGAAAAAGTCCCATAAAATATTTAAAATAATTTGTTATTTCCTCGTCCCACCTGATTTTATAATAAATGTAAGTTGGCTGGCATTCTGCGCAAAAATTGCCACATTCATTAAGGCAAAACTTTAACTTCAACTTTATGCCATTGTTGAACATGCAATATATATCCACAATTACATTGATTACGTTCCTTTCACTTGGGAACCACCCCAAAAAAATGAAGGAAAATCCAAGAATCGACAGTGAAGTCAAAACCGAAATCAAAACAAAAGAAAATGGGCGTGGCGCATGCCGCCGCCGACTTTTCGGGGTAATCCAAAAATAAACCCACCGAAAAAATCCAAGAATAATAAATATAAAAAAAGCAAACAAAAGGAACTTTCAATGGCAACGAAACAAAAACGAAAATCAATAAAACCAAGAAAAGATTGTATGATATTAATAAGTAGTCCTTCCCAATAAATACCCTAAGAGTTCCTAAGAGTAAGGAGGTACTTATAGAGTTCTTAAATGTTTCTTAAAATAACTTAACTAAATAACTGTTTTGACTAAAATTATTATGCAACTTATAGTTATTTTTATCCTATACTAAATACAATTAAATTTACAAAGAGCATCTTATATTCGTGTATCTTCGATATCGGCTACCCATTTATTTTTGGTGTACTTGAATAGTTTATTTTGTTTCTTCCTTTTTTTGGCATGTTAATATGACAGAAAACAAGTTGTTCTTAACTAATTTTCCCTTTCCTTATTATATGCTTTATTGTGGCTTGGCACTTCTGTGGTGGCCTTACAAATATAGCGCGTGCTGTCTCCCAAGGCGAGCGCGTGTGGCAAACTTATCGCAATTTTTGCATTTGCGAGGAACACTTTAAGCCACAGAAGAAAGGCAGTTAATTGGCCAAATTAAGTCTGTTCGCCTCGTGAATGTCAGTGAACTCTGATACTTAACAGATGGAGAATCAAATTATAAAAGTGTCGTATAACCATTAATATAGTTATAAACTTAAAATTTTGAAAACATTTGTATTTTTTAATTGGGTATGCAGATTTATTAACGTAATAAAAGTTAGCACAAAAAAGTTTTTCAAATTGATATGTATGCTTTGTCTAGTTATGCAATTTTTAAAACTTAAATTTTTCCAAAAAGTAATCATATATAATTATCGATATAAAATCCCTATAAGTCTTCTAAAAACTAGCACAGCAAAGATTTCCGAATTAAAATTAAGACACTGTTGGCTGAGTTATGATGATGATAGTTATTACTTTCATGGTCCAATTCCGAACTGCAAGAGTGTAAAAAGTTCGGTTTCCAGAAGTTAACTTCTTTTATTGGTTAAATTTTATATTTAATTGAGAAAAATTATATTGAAAAATGATTTTTAAACGAAAGTAACGTAGCTTCCATTTCATTTTATTGCCTCACTGTCTCAAGCTGAATTTATTAACTAAAACAGAGAAAGAGTTCACTTTGATCTACAACTACAGTTGACACAGTTCACTGAAGCTGGTGCTTAAGGCATCCTCACTGGTTACTCCAATGCCACTTCCTTCCGTGGAACCCGCTCCCAGCAGTCCCTTCTTCGGCAGGCTGGGCATGAAAATGTGCAGCTGCTTGCGACTGTCCGATACGGCGGATGCCATACCACGACTGCTGAGCGGGGGCGTTCGTGCCTCCTCCGACAGCGGGGATGCAGTGGCTCCACTGTACAGGCGGGCCGAAGCCAGTTGACCTGCCAATCGGCGTGTAGTATTGGCACTGCTGCTTAGGGCACAGAGATCAATGTTCCGGGCCGGACGGTTCAGTCGCACGGGCACGCCCTCCTTGTTGAAAATAATGGTGATGGGCTTGGCATTGGAGGCGGACGAGGAGGAATTGGTGGTGATGACCTGCTGGGTGGGAGCCTGTTGTGGGGGTAACGGCTTGGCACTGGGCTTCCTGGCCAGCGATCGCTGGTGATTCGCTGCCGCTGTGGCCACGCGCTTAAGACTCATGGTTCTATGGTGATTGCGCTGCATCCTCTGGGCGGATCTGGACAACTGGGCACTGCTGGTGGTCGGCGGCGTGGGCTCCGGATCCTTGACAATGTCCGTGCGACCGGCCAAGTCTAGCCAGTGGAGCACTCTTTCGGCCAGTCGCTCCTCAGGATTGTTAGCGGTTGGGGTGAGGGTGCTACCCGCGTCCTGAAGGGAACTCCGCCTTGACTGATGCTCTCCAAGATGCGGTTCCAAGTGGTAGGTGCGCCCGCGACTCAGAAGCCAAGCCCGCCTCTTGGAATGGCGAGTGCTTTGACGCTGATCTCGGCCTCCGTTGGTGGCGGGAATTTGTCCTGGACGCCCACTCATTGTGGGCAAGGATTGTTGCTGTTGCAGTGTCAGCTTGGTGGCGTCCAGTAGCAGGTACTCATCCAGGTACTCGACACTGTTGTCCTCAGTGGTCTGCTCGAAGATCTCGCAGGATTGGGTTTGCTGGTAGTTACCTGTGGGTAAAGAATAAGGTGAATTGTATAATCATATAAAGGAATCATACTTCATAAAATATATATATTTTATCTTTCAATATATCAAATTTAAGACAACAACTTAGATCACCAGCTCTATTTTAGTTTCTTCCCACACATCCTCGTTGTAAGCCCCAAAATGTAGGCTATAATTTTTACAAACTTCAGACAAAATTGGAATCACTAATCCTTTAGATTAAAGCTGAATATAGTCACCTCTCAGCCTTGCTTTTTGTCGCTTCCAGCGCTGCCTCTGTCGCGGCTCGTAGTCAAGTATGAAGTGTCGCCTCCCTATCGCCTCCTGCCACACGGAGCGCACAAAGAGCGGCCTGCTGGCCGACTCCCAAATGGGTCGCATCTCCTCTGCCTGCTCCTCCTCCTTCTTTGCTAATTAAATACTCTGCATATTAATGGAATGGATAAACAAAAGCGTATATTCTAGAGGTCTCAGTTCCTGGTTACTGCTGAGTTGTCGTCTTCCTCGTCGGAAGTGAATGACTATGACTGGTTGCTTCGCCAGTTGCTGCCTCACTGCCTTGTCGCGTCTGTTTGGCTTGACGACGACGAAGCCGCCGACGCCACTGTCGCCCGGCATTCCGGATCGATGTATTTTGGGTGACCTGCGGACGCCGCAGGGCTGCAGCACACAAGAATATGTCACTAGAAATAGAGTTTAGACTCAAGAAAATTGATATAAACTTGGGGAAATGAAAGATTTTGTCCAAAATTGCCTACACAAGGCTGAAATGAAGAGTTTCCCAAATGGTGTAATATGAAATATAAGAGTTCCTTACAAAGGGAAGAGCTGCTTATATATATATGGAAATTTAAGCTAAAGTTCACTTGAGTTGAATTTCTGATCTATTCTAAAGATAACCCTATAATAAAGATTATCTTTGAATATTTAAAAACCTTTTAAGCCTCTTTCCTATTTAAACCCCTTCAAAATACCAATCTTATAGTCATCCTTATACCGTATCCCTGACTCCACGGCAGTCCCAGTTTGTTTGTCTAGCTGCCCGAGTCGGCTTCTCCTTTTGGCATTGCGGTTTAAGTGTCTTCGACACGCGAAATGCAACCAAAGGCGACCGAGTGACTTCCGCTGATCCACTCCACCATGGCCCAGGCCATCGATACCAGCGACCTCACTCCCTTTCCTTGGCTGCTTGCACGTGCTTTTACGGAATTATCTTTTTATGTCAAAGGCTGGGGAGACAGTTTAATGAGTTAGTTGTTGGTTGGGGCCTGGAAATTACTTAGCAACATTTCTTGGGTGGCATTAAATTCATGGGTTAATCGCCGCGCTCTGTTGCATATTTGCCAAGTGGTTAACCCCAATTAGGTAGATGTGGTGAAATTTGCATACATTTCCGCTTGCATGTCATTTTCCTAGGGAGTCCTCTTTGGGCCAGGGGCCAGGCCATCAAATGGCATGTTATGCCGTGGATGACACATGTGCCATGGCCGACATATGTCGGTTTTGCGGGGTTTGCGGGTCAGGTGAGACTTCCACTTTCACTGAACTTTGGGCAGCGGCACATGGCGGTACGAGAACTTCAACTTTGACTATCTAACCAGTCATTAAAGGCCGATGGGAGGCTCATACATAACATATGTTATAGCTGCCTGTCACTCTGCTAACCACGAAGAGCTGGGGTCCATGGGCAAACAAATTACCCCGAACAATACTTCAAAACTCCGCACTCAGCACTCAACGGGCAAAGTGCAACTCTAACTCCAACCCCTGACCCAACTCTGGCAGGAAATGCAATTACAGGGGGAGCCCATGGTCGGCCGGAGTCTCGAGTTCTCCTTCTGGGTGTTGATAATAAATATAAACAGAGCCGAAGCATGCAATAAACAAATTGAATTTGCCGGCAGAGAAGACAGGAATCCCGGCCCCGTGCTAGGCCAGACATCAAGCCACGTTTTCCTGGAGAGTCAATTAAATGCATCGTTGTAAACGTGGCGTATGCGCAATTTTGGCCCCTCCCCTCATTGGTTTCCTTTTTTTATTCTGCTGCTTGCTGCAAGTTGCAACTCAATTAGGCCGGGGCAATCTCTGCCAGCAGCAAGGCAATTACAAAACTTTTCCGGGTCCCAACGGGAAAACGCAATTACCAAGCGGCGGCCTGGCGAAAATTGGCCCCAAAGGCATACTATACATACTACTACATACAGAGAGCGTTTAGGTTAATTGTCAGCAAATTTCTTTATGTTGCAATCAAATTATGACTCTTCCTAACCAGTGCCCATCATACCCGAGTTCCTGTACGACATTCGACATCCGGACGCGCCGCTCGACAGCTTCCCGCGGACACCGCTCACCTCCAACACGCCACCGCCGCCGACGCCATGTCCTTGCAACAAGGATGGCAGCGAGGCGGCACCGCTGGAGATCTCCACTCTGAGTCCGGAGGGTAAGTAATTGCCCGTCGTCCATCCCTCACCTAATCCTTGGTTATGCCACAGAAAACGAGACCTACTACCGGGAGCTGGAGGAGCGGCACAACGAGCTAGTGGGTGAGACCGTGGAAGTAGGCCTGCTATTCGCCTCCAAGGCTTTTGTCCAGCTGCTGGTTAATCCGATTGTGGGTCCCCTGACGCACCGGTAAGTCTTAAGCTGATTATTTCTGGCCTCAATAAGGGATATTTCTTTAAATAGTTAAAAATAAATGTTCTTTACATTTAAATATATCATTTACCAAGTTTAAAGTATCAGCCTTAATATATACTTTTCCCTCTACAGCATTGGGTACAGCATTCCCATGTTTGCCGGCTTCGTGATCATGTTTCTCTCGACAATCAGTAAGTTCATCCTCATAAATGTCTTTACAAAATGCATCACCAATCCCTTAATGCTTTTACAGTCTTCGCTTTTGGACGCTCTTACCTTGTTCTATTCGTGGCCCGGGCACTGCAGGGCATTGGTTCATCCTGCTCTTCGGTTTCCGGCATGGGCATGCTGGCGGATCGCTTTACGGATGACAAGGAGCGTGGCAATGCCATGGGCATAGCATTGGGTGGCCTGGCTCTGGGTGTGCTCATTGGTCCACCATTTGGTGGGGTGATGTACGAGTTTGTGGGCAAATCGGCTCCGTTTTTGATTCTGGCAGCTCTGGCTTTGGGTGACGGCCTGCTGCAGCTGTTCATGCTGCAGCCTTCGATCCAGAAGGCTGAGTCGGAACCACCTTCGTTGAAGAGCCTGATCAGTGATCCTTACATCCTGATTGCAGCCGGTGCCATTACCTTTGCAAATATGGGCATAGCCATGCTGGAGCCCTCGCTGCCGCTGTGGATGGTGGATAATATGGGTGCTACGCGGTGGGAGCAGGGCGTGGCCTTCCTGCCGGCCTCCATAAGCTACCTGATTGGCACGAATCTGTTTGGACCACTGGGACACAAGATAGGACGCTGGTTTGCCGCCTGCCTGGGCTTAGTGATCATCGGAGGCTGCTTGATATTTGTAAGTATTTTTCTTAGATAGATTCAAGCTTTAAGCATAACTTATTAGGTATACGTCATCCAAAGTTTCTTAAAAAGTATTTAAGAAACAACTATACGCCCCGAAAACGCTCTCTATTACTCACAGATTCCTATGGCCACCTCAATCACTCATCTGATTATCCCGAACGCCGGCCTGGGCTTTGCCATTGGCATGGTGGACTCCTCAATGATGCCGGAGCTGGGCTACCTGGTGGACATCCGTCACTCGGCCGTCTATGGCAGTGTCTACGCCTTGGGTGATGTGGCCTTCTGTGTGGGCTTTGCCGTGGGTCCTGCTCTTTCCGGATCCCTGGTGAAGAGCATCGGCTTCGAGTGGATGCTGTTCGGGATTGCCATTCTGTGCTTCATGTATGCCCCGCTGCTGACACTGCTCAAGAATCCACCGACGAGCGATGAGAAGAAGGTACGTATGGCCAGGGAGGCGGCTGAGGCTGCTGCTGCTGCCGCTGCAGCTGCAGGGGAATCCCCTGAAGCAGGGACAACAATTCCCCAGATGACGGCATCCTTTTCGGCCATCATGCATGGTACATCTGTTCCGGAACCAGATGCGGCGGCTGGCAGGACGAACGAGGGTTTCGAGAGCGAGAGGCTCTAGGTTTAGAATTTATTTTCCCCTTTAGTTGCTGATTTTGCTAATTTTTTAGTCATTACATTACCATTGTTTCTAGTGCTAAGTTCTGCTTAATTTGTTTGTAATAAAATTTATAATTTTTATTTAAAGCGCTGCCTGAGTTTCACTAAGCATGTTTTGAGTTTGGTCTTCAAAGAGGATTTTCTATATTCTTAATACTAACCCATTTCTTTACCTGCTTCCTTGCAGTCTTTGATCTATGGCCGGGATCGGGCCCAGGTACGTTATGTCACCTATCAGAACTACGACGAGGACGAGTAAGCAAACGATTTAACTCCAACGCAATGTCGCCAAAAGAGCGGCCAAAAATCCAAAAAAAGAAAAGTGTAATGAAAACCACAAACCAAAAAAATGGAAAAGGAAAAGGCAGAAACTAATCGTAACCACAACCAACAATATCAGAAATATCATATGAATCTCCAAGTGAAATCGTTATTCTTGTTCAATGTTGCACTCTATATAGTAGTGTCTATATCTATTTACCATTGATCATATCAAAAAATCACCTCCCCCCAAAGTCTAGCACACGTTACAATCAAGCACAGAAATATCTGAGGAGAAAAACCATAGGAAAAGCACGGAAAACTGAGTGAAAATATAGCTCCGCAATGAGGAGCCAAAGGTTCGATGTGACGGGTAAGTCTCTAGTTAGAGTAGGAAAAAAAAGAGGATCCTACTGCAAACTGGAGAATATGTTTATGTGAAGAGCTCACCATGAGATAGACAGAGCTTTTGAGAGTTTTTCCAAGGAAAAACTCTACTCCCAGCAGAGGAAGGTTTAATCGTTGAGCCAAGATGCAGGCGCCTGCAATTGCAATGATTTAATGGGTGCATTTACCAAGGAGCGGACTCAAGACTTTACTATTCACAAAATTATGGCTATTTGAAGAAACAGATTTTCACAGTTTTCCCGCTTGGTGGGACCTAGAGGAAGTGCATGGCTGACTTCGGTGACAGTCCAACCCTTTGCTTTAGAGTTGATCTGTCCCCGAGTCCAACCATGCAATCCCTCAGACTTCCACTGATTAAATCCGCATCACATGTTGTTGGTCCGGAAACAAGTTGATATTTACATGACAGGCATCTTGAGAAGCCTGGCGATGTGGCACCGATCCCCTTGCCACTGGCGACGATGCCCGAACCCTGACGTGGTTCATGCTGAAGTCCGCTTGCCGGGAGGTAGTTATCCTTATGGGAATATTATTTAAACGCGTCACAATTGGCGGCCTTCCGTTCAGATGTTTGGTTTCAGTCAGTGGCTGCGCGGAGGATTCCTTTGCCAAATAGCCACTAGATTTCTCAATGACATGGATATTGTCATTCGAAGAGAAGGAACTGCTACAGGCTAGACTTTCATGGATTTCAGGGACTATCTCACTGTGGAATAGACTTCTAGACGACGTTGAAGCATCTACAGTGGGAGTAGGTTTGCTATTTTGGTCGGGAGAAGCTGAACGCGGTATGGTACTACAGGAGGGTGTAGGAGAGCTGGGGGTTGTATTCTGGGAAATGGGCGTATCCACAGGATGACATGAGCAGGAGGCACAGGCCGTTGGTATTTCCTGGGCAACTGGATCAGCCGGTTTTATCTTTACACTCCTCCTTGGAGTCATTGGCCGATCACGCCGCGTGGTAGATAGATCACAGAAGGCCATTCCAGGCAGGCGATCATCTGAGGTGACAGTGTACAGGTGAGAGGTCATGGGCACTACCGGAATCGGTATGGGTATGGGTGGCACTATGGGCAAACATGTCGGTACAGCCGGCACGGGCTGCATCCGCTGACGATGCAGCTGATCCTGGAACATGCACATTCGATGGTACTCCCTGTGCCGTTGGCTCTCTCGCTTCAGTTCCTCAAGACGCTGCCTCTCGCGCACTGCCTCCAGTTCTCGAAGGTGTTCCAGATCTCGCTGGCGGTCCTGCTCCCGGAACTGCTCACGCTCTCTATCCCGCTGACGGACACGTTCCCGCTCCTTCTGCAGCTCTATCTCCCGCTCGAGCTCTAGCTCTTCTCGGAACTGACGATCGCGTTTCCTGGCCTGCTCCCTGGCCTCCTCCCTGGCCTGCTCCTTAGCCCGCTCCATCTGCTGCCGCTTCCATTCCGGACTGGTGCGCGGCTTTGTCTCAGTCACATTGAACTTGGACAGGCGCTTGTCTATGCCGAAGGACGCTGTTAAACTGTCATCCGATCCATGAGGAATTCGTTCCAGCTGCGGCCTAACCGTATCCGTGTTGTTCAGCAGACAGGCATCAGCTTCGATCCGGATGCTTACATTGTTGTCCGCCTCGGAGTTCGAGTCTCGGTTGCAGATGTTAATATTGATCTCGCAGCCATTGCTGGCGTCTCTGTCCCTGTCCCTTTTGGGCTGCAGCTCGAAGTTGGAGCCGCGGGAGAAGGTGGTGCCGGAAATACGAGGGGTGGCCCCACCACGGGCTCTCATGGAACAGCTGCTCCCACTGGCCAACGTGGCTATGCTCTGGGTGGTCCTCAGGCTCTGATACTCGCCCATCTGGCAGCAGGTCCTTAGGAGAGGACTATCGGTGACACTGGATGGGTTTCTCAATTGCGGGGTAACGGGAACACTGGGCTGCCTGGCCAACGAAGAAGCCATAGTCCTAAGTGGCTGCCTTATAGCTGCCTGGAACTCCTGCAGGAATCGAGGTCTGTTAGCGGGAACATTCCTATTTGGAGGCGGCCGCTCGGAGCCCTGTCCGAACTTGGGATTGACGAAGAAGGTCTGGAAGGAGGGCTTCTTGATGGGCGGCGGAGCAGGCCTCTGGTATTGCTGCGGTGGATAAGTTGGCTTGTCGGCATATCGGAAGTTATATGAGTTAATTTTAAAGGGGTCTCCGTGGAAGGCATCGTACACAACGCGGCGCGAGGGATCTGCCACAAAAGGAAAATAAAATTGGCAGCTGACAGTTGGATCTGACACTTTCTGGAGCTTGACTCGAGGGGAACTTACACCTATAACGATACATTTAGAGCGGTGAATTTTGGTATTTCCAAGGATTGCCAGTCGCGGTCAGCTTTTTTTTTAGTTTTTCGAAAGATATATTCAAACAAGTCCAAAGGGGAATTTATTCAAAGATCTAGAACCGAAAAACCGGGCGACTTTGTTTGGTTCTCGGTTCAGTGTCCGCTCCTGACTGACACCCATTAAAACCTTCTGGCAATACGGCGCAGCAATTGGTCAGGATTAAATGGACACAATTCCGAGTCCAGCCTTCCTTAATTAACTCAATTTCATATTTCAAGTTGTTAAAGTTAAAGTTACTAAACTAAACTAAAATATATAAATCTATAACCTTGTAGCACACACAAGTTATCTGACAAGTTAAGGGAATTATTGATAAGATTTTTGTGGTACCCAAAGAGTACTCGGAAAAGGAATACCTTTCCATAGAATTAAAAAAAATTTACGCGTGCACAGTTTTTGGTAAGTTTTATCAGTTGCATATTTTTTTTCACAAATAAAGTGGGGAATGAAATCGCTAAGATGAAGTATTAAATTTTAAATTATTATACATTCAAATTTAGAACTTTCACATTTCCCACCCAAGGTTTAGATACTTTCCTCAGAAGTACTACCGATTTCGTTCCTCCACTACCTGAGATCACCTTGGATCTCAAAGGGATACTGCCGCCAGACCCTTGAATGGCTGCAAGGCTCGAAAGCGTTGGGATCGTCATAGGTCCTGTAAAATCCCATATATTTAGAGCAAAAGTAAGCCCACTTAGAGGCATATAATAAACCGACTTTGCATGCGTAAATCAAAAGATATATATTGTAAAGGAAAATAACTCTGTAATGGCCAAAACTGGGCACAGAAACCAAAGACAAAAAGGCCAACAAAATGTAGTTAATCGCAGGTATACAATGAGGTTATATTGACAAACTGTACATACGCATAGCTGAAATACTTGCTGATTATCATCGTTGTTCCATTGTTGTGAAACTTGAAACTACTTACATATATAGAGCAAATACCATATATAGCTGTATCTTAGATCCATTCAAAGCACACAAGAGATTCTACGTTGTGTTTGTGTTATGACTTTCCACGCTTTGAAGAATTGCCGAATTCAATCATGCCACACGCGTTTTACTAACATATAACTAAAGGACTCTTCGTATATCTTATCCTATGTAGTTCGAGGACGTTGTACAGGGTATGCAACTCAAGATATTTAGCAAAAGAAAAAGGTTTTGTTCGGTTTTCAATCAACTCGTTGTGTAAGTTTATGCTTCGGCCCCCCTTCTGGGGGCTCAGCATCCAATATAAACGTGTGAATTAGACAATATAGCTTCTAACTGAATAATAGTGCAGCATACTCAATACATATACTATATACTACTAATATTTCTTCGTAACCAAATCGTTATATTGTTGCCTAACTATGTTCAAATGTTGCATAAGTGTTATCTACTAAAAAAAAGCTGGTATGGGGTCAAACAAACAACAAATAATGCTACTAAAGCAGCTAACCAAAGCGTTTTGTGCACAGTATTCACAAATATATTGAAAGTAATAACCTTAAATGTTTAATTCTACAACTTACTGTATGTATTTGCTAAATAAGCTAACTAAGATAACCGCACACACATACTATCTCTCTCAAAAAGTTCGTATTCGAATTACCGCTAGGAATGAAAAACCTATATAGTTTAGCGCGAGCATATAGTCACAAAGTATTTAATATGAAAAGCAGGGCATATATATATATATATATATTAGCATAATAATCGAGAAAGTAACTAAATGTATTATAGTCCCCTAACAATTATCACATTTCTACTCAGACCTTGAAACTACATACATATGTGTACTCATGTCATGCCATGCCATGTTTATAGGGTGAGAACCGGCAGAAACCAGGAGAAGAACACAAAACAAACATATAACATACTATATTCTATATACTATTTATAAAGACGACGAATGGTGACCAAGTAGAAAGATATACTAAATATGCCAAATACACATTATCTCTATACACTAAACTAAAGTATAATTAACCCACACACATGTGTTTATTTCCTAGAGATATATATTGCTAACTAAGCTGATACCCCGATATCGGGAAAACCAAACGAAATTGCGTTGAGTTTAATATACTCGCCCATCATATACGAAATTGGAAACAATGCGAATGCAAAATACAATATGTAACTGAAGTTGTTGGTGAATAAACAAGCTACAAAAAACATATACTCGTTGTTTTAAATTTGTGCTTAAAATTGTATTTAAACTTTATTGAGTTTATACATCATCATTATATACATCGAATTCAAGAGGGATGAATTTTCAATATGGTTATAATGGTAAGCAAAAGACGCTTGAATAATTCGAAATAAAATTGTCTTATATATTTATGAAATTTGCTATCTGTCGCGGTATTTACATTTTGGTTTAAATAGTACAATTTAAGGTCAACTTTTAGAAAGCCAAAAATATAATATTGCGGAGTTTGTAGAAAAGGTCAAGAACGCTTGAAACTTAAAATCTAATTCATGTGTGACTAAGATAGCGGCAACTGCCTGTGCCTGGTGTCCTAAGAAGCTGCAGTGGACTCGTCTAGCTGAGCTGATGTATCGTTCTTCTCCTGGGCAACCATTATTATCTGATTGAGGCTTTCACCAAGCTCTTCCATAACCTCGCGCTCGGTGTCCTCAAGGGGCATGCCCTGCTTCTCGTGCATGACAATCCGTGATATCATGCACATAATAGTCGCCTCAATGACATCGTCCGTCAGATACATTTTGGAGCGGTTCTTCAGCGCGTGCTTGTCGCTCGCATCTGGAACCCTTCGTGTACCTTTGACACCCAACAGGCCATCCAATGAGTCCATGTCCACATCCGGACGGTCTTCCATGTTTCGACAGCCTGCAAAATCGAGGTTTTGAATTAGATTTTGTCAAATTTAACAGACAAAATCAATCAATTCTTGTACTTACCCACGCATTTGCATATGCTGGTGCAGGGAATCTTGGCCTCGTAGCACTCGCAGTAGTTCTTGAGGCAGCCGGATCGCTTGCAATTACAGCCTTTGTTATGCAAACGCATGTCACCCGAATTGGGAGCCGTTATTTTGGGCCTAATAAGAAGTAAAGGTTTAAAGGTAAGTAAACTATTGGTAAATTAATCAACTTAAGCAACTTACTTGAAGGCGCTTGGGTTGCGATCTAGGCAGCTGCGAATGGCTCGTTCTCGCTCCACTTCATAATCCAGATTGTTAAAACAATCCTTGCAGGTGCAGTCCTGACAGAACTCTCCGTTTGCAAAGCAGTCGCAGTAGAGCTTCAGGCACTGCGATTTACTGCAGTTACAGTGTTTGCGGCGCGACGTCATGCCGGCCAGTGCTTCGGCGGCCGCGACAGATCCTGACCCAGTCGACGGTGGTTTCAGTATATCGAAAAGCGGCTTGCCGGCAGCCGCAGCTTTCGTGACTTGAGGCGGCTGTGTGGGCAGCGTTGGCAGTGTGTTCCCCTTGGCCTGCCCCGCAGACTGCAGTTGCTGCTGCCGGATCCTCTGCTTGGCCTGCGCCTGCAGTTGCAAGTGTTTCGCCTGCTGCTGGGGAGTCATCTGCCTGAATCTCGCTTGCTGCGAGGCAATGGACAGCGGTCGCCGCGATTTACTGTCCACATATCCAGTATATCCCCGCCGCATAGAGCTGGTCGACGCCTGAGGAATGCCCGAGTTGCAGATCATGTACTTCACCCCATTAGTTCCCGTCGTCTTCATAAAGTTGTAGATCTTCTTAGCCGCGATGGGACTAGTGTTGCTGCCGGTTGCCAAGCGTTGCTGCTGGGAGCCCTGTTGCATGGTGATCACGAAGCGCGGCTTCTTGGCCTCCGGACCTGCATCGCTGCTGTCGCTGGCATCGCCGCTACTGGCGGTCAGATGCTTAAGCTGTATGTTGAGATCGGTTAGCCGGTGCTTGCGTGGCGACTCCTGCTGGCTGCTAACTCCGCTGCTACTGCTGGGCCCGCTAGCCGACTTGGTGGCATTGGTACTGGCGCCCAGCGCACGCTGCAAAGGTTCAGAATAGTCAGGAATACGGGAAACCGTAAAAAATAATTATAGGCTGGAGTACAAACCTTAGAGACCAACGTCTGCACGGAGGGCAACGGCACAATACTGCCCATTGACCGCATTATAATCTTGTTGGAGTTGCTGCTCACGGCGTGGTTTGCCTTTTGAGTTGTTGATGCAGAGGTTGATGCTGATGTGGAGGGTGAGGTGGACGTAAAAACTCCGGCTTGAGACCGTACCACTGTTATCTTTTGGCCTGGCATGGCCCTAGGCACAGGCACGGACGCGGTTGCGGTAGATGTACTCCCAGCTGCACTCGTCGTAGTTACATTCGTCCCGGCTGCAGCCGTCCCTGCTGTACTCTTGCTGTTGGTCAGCACACGTACATATTGCACTCCTCCCTTGCCGGGCACCTGAACAGCGTGGATTCCGCTCGTGGATAAGGCGCCGCCTTGCCCGCCGGCCGTGTTGGTAACGGCGCTGGTAGCGCCCGGTTTCGGTGATAGCTTTATAATGTTTTTGTTTGACACCAGTATCTGCTTGCCTCCACTCTGCACCAACATCTTGCCGGGTGTCCCAGTGCTGGTTGCATTGGAAACGGTGCCAGTCGTGGTATTAGCTTGCTTCACCGAAGTCGCAGCCGGAGCCCCAGTCTTGAGCACCACCTGGCTGACGGGTTTGCCGAGCACCACGTTGCTTTTGGTGGGGGAGATGGCTACGGGCGTGGCAGCAGAGGATCCCGCAACTGGTGGTTTGGCATTCAGAAGAACCGACGAAGTCGTCTGATTGATTTTAATGATCTTTCCGTCGGCTGTGCGCACCACGTGAACTTTGGCGGCCTGTGGAGCAGCAGCCGCATTGGATGTGGGCGAGATTGTGGATGCTGTTTTTCCTCCAGATCCACCACCACCGCCGCCTGTGACCAGCGGTGTAATGCCCTTGATTGTGATGGGCACGGAACCAGTGGCACCTGCTTTAACAGGTACTGCAGCTTTGACCAAGCCAGGACCCGTTATAGTCACGCTTTTGGAGACCACCGCCTTCTGGATGTTTGAAGGGGCAACAAGGCGGCGTATTCCACTGGTCGTGGGCGCAGCCACAGTGGATACTTTAGCTGCAGTCTGTGTGCCGGGCGTAGATTTCTGTACGTAGAGTATCCTGCCATCGGGCGTCTTGATCTGTGTCAAGTTGTTCAGCGTCTTGGTCACTCCGCCCGTCGTGCCTGCGGTAACGATCTTGACGTTGCTGGTAATGCTGCTACTGCTGCTGCCAGTGAGTGGTTTCAGTTTGTTGAGGATCTTAACGTCCGTTATTTGAGGCTTGACGGGAGTGGTCGATGCATTTGTTCCCCCAAGGCTTCCCAGTCCCGTCCCGGAGGTTACCACCTTGATGGCATGGGTCTTGAGGACAGGGGCCATTCCCGAGGTCGTCAACCGCTTGTTCTCTAATATGTGAATGGTGGATTTCTTGAACTGTGGCGTGTGCAGCGAGTCACTGGCCATGTCGTGACCGGAGACATCCTCGTCCTCCGAGTCCAAGGCATCGATATCCATGTGTTGTGGGCTCTTATCCTCCGCTGGCTCCAGGAAGTCCTCAAAACTTAGTTCGGGCAATGGGGTGTTGTCGTCCAGGGAATCTGTGGGCGATAATAGAAACATTATTTTCACACCGTCCAATGCATTTTGGCTGGCTTGTCAATACCCGCAGTATAGTCAAGGCGGTAAATACTCATATTTAGTGATTTTCAAACTAATAATTTCAAACTTTTCTTTATCATCAGCTGCGGTTGCAACGTTTCTTTTCAACACAGAAAATCGGTGTGTTCAAGGTTTCAAATATCGATTTTCGATACCGATAAGCCACGTGGAAAAAGTACTCGATGCCACGTGCGATAAATCTACGAGGCAAGGCGCCATTTTTGAATTAAATCTTATCGCTGGGAATACCGAAGCAAGTTTTCTATATAAATATTGTAAATTCAGAAATGTTTTTAATATTAACATTTTGTTCAGTTTCGGGTGTTTGTTTTTATTATTTTACTCGACTGGGACCATGTTTGAAGCGCCAACAAACTTATACAATATGCATAAAAATCGCTTAAGAATATGATTTTATTTAATGACTGACTGCGTTCCGATGCGAGGCTCTACTTTTTGGCAGCCACCTTCTTCTCGCGTGCCTTTTTGCCCTCCGTCAGCTCGGAACGCTGCGCTTCAGTCAGGGCGGCCATGGTCTTCGTAACGACGCCGGTGCCAAGGGTCAGGTTGCCGTCGCGCAGCGTGAAGCGCTGGCCCTGCTCCAGCACCATGGGCCGGATGAGGCGCAGAATCAGCTTGGTGTCTTCGCCGGGCATGACCATCTCCTTGTCGGGAATCTGCACTTGGACCGCGCAATCCCAGGTGCGGGAGAACATCTGCAGCTGGATGAAGGACATGAAGGGCTTGGTGCGGCCGCCTTCCTCCTTAGACAGGATGTACACCTGTGCCTCCAGTTGGTCCAGCGCCTTCACGCTGCCCGGCTTGCACATGACCATGCCACGCTTGATATCATCGCGCTTGACGCCGCGCACCAGGGCACCCAGCTGATCGCCGGCCTGTGCCTCCTCCAGAATCTGATGGAACATCTCCACGCCCGTTACTGTAGACTTAAGCACCTTATTGTAGCCGACGAACTCGCATTCCATGCCCTTCTTTACCACACCGCGCTCCAGGCGCCCGGTAACCACGGTACCGCGTCCAGGAATCGAGTACACATTCTCCACGGGCAGCAGGAATGGTTTGTCCAGCTCGCGCACTGGCGTGGGAATGAAGCTGTCGACCTCCTGCAGCAGCTTCAGGATTGCATCCTTGCCAATCTCGGGGCTCTTGTCCTCCAGGGCGCACAGCGCCGAGCCTTTCACAACTGGGATCTTGTCACCATCGTAACCCATCTCGGTGAGCAGCTCGCGAATCTCCATCTCCACCAGATCGACCATCTCCTGATCGGCAGCGTCCACCTTGTTGATAAACACCACAATGTGATCAATGCCGATCTGCTTGGCCAGCAGCATGTGTTCGCGGGTCTGCGGCATGGCACCATCGGTGGCGGCCACCACCAAAATAGCGCCGTCCATCTGGGCCGTGCCGGTGATCATGTTCTTGATGTAATCCGCATGTCCCGGGCAGTCGGTGTGTCCGTAATGCCGCGTCTCCGTCTGGTACTCAACGTGGGCCACATTGATGGTGATGCCGCGCGCCTTCTCCTCGGGAGCATTGTCGATCTCATTGTACTTCTTGCTCTCGGCCAGCTGCTTGTCCGCCAGCACCTTAGTGATGGCCGCCGTGAGAGTAGTCTTGCCATGATCCACATGTCCGATGGTGCCCACGTTGCAGTGGGGCTTGGTGCGCTCGAACACCTTTTTCTCGTTGGCGTACTCACGCAGATACTGCTGCATGTTGCCGGTGGTGGCGGGGGCAGTGAGGAGTCCCTGCCAGTCCCTTCGGGCAGCGGAAGCGGCTGTGGCGCTAGCCAGGCGCATCATCCGTGTGGAGCTCATGGCCCGCCGGCTGCAGCGCAGCGCCAGAGCCATTGGAGCGGCGGACCGGCAGACGGCAGCGGCAAATGCATGTGACATGGTTCTGGGCTTTCGCTAGCTCTCCGGTGGTGCTTTTAACTAAGGAGTTGAGTTCAGAGAAGGGGGTTCGGTGAGTGGAACTCCAGTGGCACTTACAAGATTCGAATGGGCTGTCCTGGCAGGGGGCTAAATGCCTTTTCAGAAAACTTCGGAAAATCTTAAATTGCGTAAACCCCGAAATGTGCTGTGGTAGAGAGCTGCCAACCCGACGTAGGTTATCGATAGGCGATGGTTAGCCCCTACGATTACTATTATTAACTTGGTGATTATAGCTATATTTTTACAAGTATAACTAATTAGGTTATTTAATAAACTTAAAACTCACTTGTTTTCACCTAATTGAACTTAATTTTTTGTAGCTGCATTATTTTATTGGCACTTTGATTTCAGTTGGCAGTTCTTGTTGACGTTATGCAGGGAAATTATTTTGTGCGCGTTTTTTCTGTCAATTAAACACAGGCCTCGACACAGCCGACACACTTCCAGAGGATGGTAAGAAGTAGTTTTTTTTAGTTGACCTTTCTCCAAATCCTTACTTGTACTTTTTTTGCACTGTTTGTGTCCAATTAAAACCTGGCCCCAAGACTGTACCCCACCAAAAACACCAATACCAGTAAGCACTGGCGTATGTGTGCGGCAAACAGTCTGGCAAGGCTGCAGTGGGAAATTCGATTGGGATGTTCCCATAACGTTAAAAGCACTTTTCGTTTCGTCAGCAGAGCCCAAACAGTTTAAAAATAAAACAAATGCAGCGTTCATTGGTATCAAAATGCATAACCAGGCTACTAATCTACGTCAAGGTTATTAAGCGGAGTGGTAATAAGGAGTGGGTGGGGGCACTGGACCGCGAGAAGAATTTGCGCGCCAGGGACGTGCGACCAACTGCCATGCCAAGTACACGCTGTACTACTGGGTTGAAAATTCAATTTGAAATACGAAAGTCAAAGTGCATTCTCACCTAAATTGCCGCCACTGGTGTCCATGGCCAATTGCTTTCTCCGCCTCCTGTGCCTCCGGTAATTGTTCGTTACTCCTTTCGGACGCTTTTAATGCACACAGTGCGCGGTCACTGAGGGCAAAACAAAAAGAAAATCTGTACCGCCGTGTGCCCTGCGAAACGCGTTCAATTTGTCGTCGGCGTCGCGGCCTTAATATCAATCTTGTTATTCGCGCGGTTGGATGTGCGTCACGGTATCACTAGCACTTGCACTTTCGCCGAGCGCCTTATCAGCGCTTATTTACAACCGGGTGCACTAGCAAATTCAAAATTCAATTTAAATTTCCGTCGGAACTCTATTCACTCTGTTGATGAGACATAAAATTTATCTAGGGCGGAGAGACAATCGATAGGAAATATACTATAATATACCACAATTTATCGATATTTATATCGCTATAAATTAGTGCAAAAGTTGAGCAGCCCTGGTTTTTGAATCTTTTTATAGGATTTTCAGAGAAAAATACTTTTTTGTTAGCCTCTCAGGGCTACAGAAAAAATTTGTAAGTTCTTAAATGCGATAAATTGACACTGAAGCGATAAATAAAAGCCACCTTCCGCAGTCTGGCAGCCCCAGAGTGAGCATTTATGGGCGATTTAAGTGTGGCCAGCTGCAAGGAAACATTTGGTGTTCATATGGAATTGGCGTCTCGCGCGGTAACACTTTGCGCCTTCTTTCCTATTGGGAAAATAAATTATATTTTTGTGGTATTGATAATTTATTTAATATTATAAACCAATTGTTACGTATTGAGCATGCTTTCCTCTGCGCAAATTGACAATTATACAATTAATTAAATCTTGATATGTAACATAAAACTAAAAACAACGCTAATTAGATTTTAAATATTCAAATAAAACAACTTTACATAAACTCCGACGACGGACGGAGGCGGACTCTACGGTTGCGCAGCCCGTAAGTCCGAGGAGTTTGTCCGTCGCCATCATGGGCGGTCGCTGTCATGTCCTGATCCAAGGATCTACGCTCAGTGGACGTCTCCAGGGACATATCTTCCTCGCAGTCCTCCAGCTTGTCCGCACCCTCCTTTTCCTCGCTGCTGATATTGCCCTCCTCGATAGTAAACTGGAAACGGCGAACGCTCTTCTTGGCACTGAAGATGACACCGCGGTTGAAGCGTTTCGTGGTGCCCGGTGTCTTCAGAATGGAGGGGCGAGATTTCGGCGGCGGCGTCCTGTCGACAGCGTTCTGCTCCGCAGCGGCTATCAGGGCTGTTTTCAGCAGAGCATTGGGTGCAATGGAGGAGCGTCCTTCGCCAGTGGACATGCGAAGAACTGTGCGAGCCGGAGAGAAGGATCTGCGGTCTCGCACCACTATCACGCGCTGCGAGCTGCGACGCGACGGCGTCGGTGGGATACCATCGTCCTGTGGCGCCTCCTCCAGCTTGGATTTCTTCATGTTAGCATGGGCTTTGCGGAGGAACTGCTGCAAATTGCTGCTGGGCTTGGCCTTTGCTTTCATATTCACCTTGCGAGTAAGCTTTGCCTTTGGCTTGGCTTTCGCCTGATCCAGTTTCTTTGCTTCTTCCAGCACTGCATCCGGGTCCAGCCAGTCGTTCGCCTTCCAACGCTCTAGGCTCGCAAAGCGCTTGTCCACGTTTTCGCTCTGCAGCCGCAGCATGTCCCACCAGCCCTCCAGATCCTCGGGCTGCACTGGCTTTGTGTCTTCGCTCCCATCGTTAGGTAGTTGGTTCTGGCATTTAGCTCCAGCCTCGCAGCGATCAATCAGGCCCTTGAACTGCATCATCTTCTTCGTGGTAAGCAGGCGTGTCTGTCCCACAGTCACGTTGACCATGTCACCGCCGCCTGTCTCCTGCAGACGCTCCTCGTTCGCCTTGCTGTACGCCTCCCACTCTCTGCAGAGTGCTTCAAGCCGCGCGATTTCCTCTTCCAGCTGCACCCGGAAGTACATAACGGATTCAATGGCCCGTCGTACTTCCGCCGGCGTCTCCCCGTCTTGCAAGTAAAAGCTATTCCGCTTTTCCCGTTCGCTACGGGAGTTCACCTTGCCGCGGGAAACACTCACAAAGGGACTGAGATAGTTAGACTTGCCCTCGGAGTCGCGGCGAGGAGGAGTCTTCTCAACTGTTTGCACTAACGTGACTTCGCCGTCCCCTTCTTTAACTGGAAGAGAATGCGCCGGTATCTTCTCGGCTGCCTGCACGAACGTGGCTTCATTGACTTTTTGAGCTGGGAGGGAATGTGGCAGTGTCTTCTCCACTGTCTGGACGAGCGTGGTTTCAATGTCATCTCCTTGAACTGGAAGGGAGTATGAGATTACAGCTGGAGAATAAATATAAATCAACTCACCTGTTGTCTGCAGTGGCTCCAAGGCCAACGACTCATCCGCCTCTGAATTGGCAACAGAGTAGCGCGTAAAGTTGAACTTCTTCTTGGATCCCGAAGTGGGTTTTTTAGAGTTACCCTCGGGCAATAGCTGCCTCTTAGCCACATTGACTCCTACTTTTTTGCCGGATGCCACCGGACTCAAGGCGGTGACGTCGCCAAAGGCCTCTTGGAGACTGCCGCTACAATTGTTGGTCCTGTACTGTGTGGATGTGGACTGGGCCAGGAAAGGATTTTCTGTTTGGTCCTCCTCCAGTGGCGTATGTGGAACCACATTACTCACCGCTAGAACCAGTTCTGTCTTAAGTTGCGGCAGCTTTCGGGCATTCTCCTCTAGTCTTGTGTAGTTGCTCTTTCCCTTGGTGGCCTTCATACGAATGGACTGATGGGCTGTCCTAGCGGCTGTACCTCCCGCTTTGTTGGCTATACCAGCGGCTTTGTTGGCCATACCTGCCGCTTTGAATTTGCCAGCGGCCCCGCCTCGTACGGGCTGTGGCTTCACTATATTTGCCCGACCTACGGTTGGTGCTCTGTTCAAGATGGGCTTTTCGAACGGCTGAGTCATGACATTGGACAGTTTTGGACGCGGTTGGGCTGCAGCAGTTAGCTTAGCGGATGCTACATTCTCCCGGGTCTTCAGGCCACTGGTTTGTGGAGGCATTTTGGTCGCAGTAGCAGGCGTAACAGGCGCTCTAGGACGAAGACTGGTGGCTTGCGGTCGTGGTTGGTTAGGTGCTGGCCCAATGGCCTTGGCTTTAATAGGCTGAGTCTGTACAGTTGTCTTCGACCTGCTCAATGTCATTGGTTTCCTTGCCGGCATGGCAGAAGGCACCCTTTTGTTTGCCACAGGAGCCTCAACAAATGCTTGCCTGGCTGGAGGAGCAGCAGAAGCCATCTTCCTTGGCGGCGCTGGTTTCGTTACTGAAAATGCTGGCTTGCTAGGCCTTTTGGATTGAATAGCCGGCTGGATTTTAGGCCTGCTCGTCTGAGGCGCTGCGGCAACTTTCTTCTGTTCCATTACCTTGCTCTTGGGATTGACAATGACGTAGAGCGACTGCCGTTTCTTGGGTGCTTTGAAAACGGGCTCATTTTCGTCTTCCTTCTTCTGGGGCGGATGCTGGACTATGACGGGAGGCCGGAATACCGCCGATGTGGGGATCGAAGAAGCTGGCTTAATGGCCAAGCCAGAAGTTGGCTTAACGGGCTGGCCACGACGCAACAGCTCTTGCATTTTGTGTTCCTCCTTCCTGGCGGCATTCCACTTTTTAAAGCGTTCCAAAAACTGCTGGTGGCGAGCTGTTTTACCGTCTTTCTTATTCGGCGGCACCGCCTGGCCTACATTCTGCTCCTGCACACTTGCCGGAGCCTCGTTCTCTTTGGGAGCCACTGGTGTCGGTGACTGTTGCTGTGGTTCAGCATGTTGCTGGGGCTTGGCTTTGACCGGAGTGGGACTGACACTAATTATACGGTTGTTTTGAAAGCATTCTTCTCTGTTTTTGGCGCGCCGCTCCTGCTGTCGTTCCCTATTGGTCTGGATGTGATTGCGCGGGCTTAGCACCAGCGACTGTTCTTTGTATAGTTCCTTGTGGCGCTGCATGGCGACGATTTTGGAGCGCAGTTGACTATTTATCTGGCAATTTAATAATATGTATAATCTGGACGAGGAAAGTGCCGTTTTTGGCGTCGCTAACTGGATTTGAAAAATGGCGAGGCGTCAGACGCGATAGAGTGACCAGGCAGCAGCGGTCGCAAAAATACCAGATGTGGAAAGGCCGGTGCTGCCACCCACTACAAAGTTATCGATTATCTGGCGTTTTTGATCAGTCCAACCGCGGTCACGCTGCTATGAAAATAAAAGTGAATTGAATTTTAGCGCAGTATAATGGTATCCCGCCCGTCTCCCGCATTTAATTAGTGTCCCATAAGCTTTTAACATCCCCGTTCGCTATATAATGAACACAGCGGCCGGCTCGCAAGCGAGAAAAATCCGTAAAACTTCGCCGAAACTTGCACTAATAAATACAAGCCGCGCGTGTGTGAGTGTGTGTGTTTATTGGGGCTACAAAAAATAAAACAAACAACAACGTCACCGCTGCAGCATTGCCAACAGCAAGCACCCACGCCCTAGTTCGCTTCAAATATCTGTATTTACAAGCCCGTGTTTTCGAATTTATGCGAAATACACAGGTTCTGGGCCCAACAAGTCACGGCCAGCCAGGGCTTAATTGCCTTTGCGGTACCTGCTTTTCCCTGAATTTCCAAATCGCAAGCTGCTGGCAACGCTGCCACGCTCACACACACCCACACACGCCGATACCGAGACACCGACACACGCGAAGAGCGAGAGAGCGCTGTGTTGTCGCCGCCTGTCATATTGTGTTGCCTGGCCTGGGCCGTGTCGGTGTATTTTTAATCGCTTTTCGCCCAAGAATATTATTAACCAGAAAATCGCGCCGCCGTCGAACATCCATGAGTTATTGTTTATATAATGCGCGCAAACTAATAACGGAATCGTTTCGTTTCGTTTTCATTTCCACAGCACTAGTAGTGTGACGAGAAATCCGACCTGCCCATGTATGCTGTGCGTGAGTGTGTGTGTGTGGTGCATCAAGGCTGATAAAGCAAGCGGAATAGCAAGTAGCCAGTAGCAAATAGCAAATAGCCATAGACTCTAAACGTTAACTACAACTAAACTGAAAGTGACTTCGATAGCGCTTGCAATTACGCACAAGCAATCAACGCGCAGCAATGGAAGCGATTGCCAAACACGACTTCTCCGCGACTGCCGAGGACGAGCTGAGTTTTCGCAAAACTCAGATCCTAAAGGTGAGTTTTCGTTCTTTCCTTCTATTCGTCATTATGACCAGATTTATGCATAGTGTTTGTCGGGGGAGGTTGGCCGGGAGATTGCATGCATAATCTTCGCCGCAGCCCGACTGCACTGCTCCAGGTCGTTGCCTTAACCCACATCCTAAGCCCCCAGACATACGGATTTTGTTACCTTAAACCCGACAAAGATATAAGCTGGGAAGCGGTTCAAAGGTGCATCCGCCAGAACCAACACCAAAGGATTACCACCTGGTGTAGTGACTCACCGGGTTGCAAATGCTCTCACAAAAAAAACCCATATGAATATTCAAAGATAAATACTGATTATGATGGGGATTCACGTAGCTCTGGGAATGTGTTTGTTGAAGTCTTTAGCGCAGTTTTTACTATACTTATTATTATTTATTTGTGTGTTTGAAGTTGATTTTCTAAACAAAAACCTTTATTTTTAACAGCGTTTAGCTGTTTAGCAGCGTTTGATCTGGCTACGAAACAATAAAAACTACGAAATATAATATTCCTAACTATAAGAATACCTTTTTCCTCTTTCCCTGGCATACTTTTGATTTCCTTTTTATAGTTTACTGTGGTGATTTTATATATTAATAATAATATTTCCAAAGTCTTAAAACATCAAGTTTTATTAGGTAAAAACTAGTTTTGTGCAGAATGCCATATCAACAATTTATTACTTTGCCATACGACTCTAATTTAATTTAAGTTATAGACACGTTTATATAGGAAGCTTGCTCGTACATATAGCATGTACCCTAGCTTTTGCGGAACTATAATAGATGGCACATCCGATCTGAGCTGCTGGCTAGCCAAGAAGCTTCAGTTTCTTGCAGAAGGCTGCTGGTGGTGCTCAGGCTGCGATTCGATCTGTTGTTCGCCTTTCCGTTGCGTCCCTTCCAGGTGCTAGTCCCCAGACCTAGGCTCCTGGGCCAGGCCCTTTGTTTTGGCTGGCGAATTTTCCGGTTTCTTGTTGCCAGGTCGCGCTGTAAGCTGATTTTCGTTGTTGGGAGCAGTTGCATGGCGATGGTGTGGTAATGGTGTGGCTGCGGCTGTGCCTGTTGGTGTGTCTACCTTGTCGTAGGTTAGTCACAGCAGGAGGAACCCAGGCCCAGTCCCCAAGTCACTGGCACAGGCAGGTTTTTTTGCCTTTTGCATTTTTTCAGTGTGTCTCTATGCCTAGGCCTGAGCCTGGGCCTGGGCTGTGTGTGCTGATTGATGGTGTCAATGACTCGCCAAAGAAGCTTCCTTTATCGGTTCCCGAAGGTCAAGTGTGTGCGTTGCTCTCGCCCCATTAGATAGTCCATGTCCACGGCTAGCTGCGGCAGAGAGTGCATCCCTGGCTCTGCCTAGCGCTTGAGCTCCCTGCTACGTCTTATCACTAAGTAAACAACTGATAACCCAAGTGTAGTCAATTACCATTTGGTGCGAGTGAGGAGAAGCATTCCAATGGATAATCGCGTGAGATTCGAACAGTTCGAACTTGGAGCGCATTTGCTTGCTTACTCACTCGATATTTGGAAGGTCTTATCTGAAAAGAATCCCAAACTCGCACACAAAGATAGAGGGAAACACACACGCGAGGCCCCCCTCTTGTGAATCATCAACAAACACTTCATTTCATTCCATTTCTGTCCATTCCAGAAACTGGTTTCTTGAGCAGCCAATTTCTTGGATATTTCGTGTTTAGTTTTCTGAGAACAATCATGTTCAAATCTCGAGTTCTAACGGATTCGTCGTGACACAGAAAAGCCACGTTTTAACATAACAAAAGCGCAAAATCGAAATGGAAATGGAAATGGAATTCTAAGTTCAACTTTCGCTTGCCGCGAAAACAATGAAAAGTGAACGATGCGATGTTCGTGTCGATTTGACACTTTCCAGCGTATAGAACCCCCTGCGGAGGCACAATAGCCATTTTCTCTAGTAATTACATAAACCAGTGACTGCCAACGAATTGATAATAACAACAATCATGGCCACTACGTGCCAGCTCTCGTAGAGCGCCCGCAAAAAAAATATTTATGCATTTTCCAACTGCCCAGGTTCAGGCACACATTCCTCTGTTCCCCGATCCCCCTACACCGACAAAAAGGGTTAAAAACAATGACTAAAATGCTCTTAATTTATTTAAAAAAATGTGACTAAAAACATGGTCTTATTTTGCTTTGAGGAGTATAAAATTTAACTCCCTTAAGAGTTTACAATATTTGGATCATTTTTAATGATCCAAGAGAGTTGCTTTTAAAAACTCAAAAACGATAAAATGCTATTTCTTTGCGTGTAGAAGAATCGCGAGAAAATTGTCTGTAATATGCGACGAAACCGTGGAAATGAATTTCTCAGCGGCGTCTGGCTGTATTCAATGAATGAAACAAGCTAAAAATAAAATAAATATACGATGAACAATGTCTGGGTGACAGATGCGGGCGGTATCGGTTATGGGGATGGATTAGAACTATAGAGAGCTATGCCAATTAGCCCGACCAGATCCAGCAGAGCCACATTTGCCACTGCCAACAACGATAAAAAAAAAACAATAATTGAGTTTTACATAAGCTGGTGAATTGACTTGACACAACCCTCCCCTGAACGTCACCCAAATTCCACCCACAATACACCGACGTGCGAAAATTAACCGAAAATACAGAAAGTTATTGTCTATACAGTGGGGTTATCTGCTAATTTATAGATTGAAACTATGTGAAAGTATTTATTCACAGCAACTAAGTTTTCATTTTTATTGAGACATGAGGAATACCTTGGGTTAGTTATATAAAGAACATGTTATTACTCTCAAAACGAGAGTATAAACCAATAAACCCAGTAACCACTATGATTACACAGTATCATAAGGGGTATAACACGCGCCTTTTATGACTCATTTGAATGCCATTCCATTATTTCGACTCCCATGAACGTTATTGGGACGTAGCGCAAAAACCTGCCAAATAACTCGAGGAAAAATCTGTTAAACGGAAAGAGAGAGAGAGAGAACGTAATAACGCTAACTACATTATTTACTTAAGGCTTCTTTTATATAACGAAAAGGAAACTGACTCATGCCAAGTGCGTGGGCGGAATCCTGACCTTTCAAGCAAGATATGTACAAATTTCCGACATATATTTGTGGGAAGATTTCCTTGGAAAAGGAAAACAAACATGAAGGCTGATGCTGGATGCTGGCGGGCAGCTCAGGTTGAGGTGCTTAGAGGTCGATGTCAACCGATGTCTCCACGATTCATTCATGAAAAAGCTACGCTCAACAACTTGAACTATGGGAATTCCCAGTGTGGTCTTAACAAAACAAAATATCAAACAAAAAGCCAATGCGGTGATACATATGTACATACATTCAGATGTCTGTACTCTCGAAACCATTTTCATTTTGACTTTTGGCAATTGAAATTGAAAGAAATCATAAAAGACGATTACGTAGGCTACTTGTATCATTTTTTGGCCCAAAATATGGCAAAAAAATAAAGAGCAGCCTCCATTAGAGACACAAACAAAGTGAAATTTAAATAGCCGCCGTTTCACTTAACATTCTTATCACATGTCCGGCATAATGCTTGCTTATTTTTATACTCCGCCAAGCAACAGATATGAACATAGTGAAAATAGATGCTAACAGATATCAGATAACAGAGATATAATTCCCAGGGCATATAAGCCTATCGTGCGCCGTTGATTGCAAACTGACACAGTTTTTGGCTGGCAATCAACAGACAATTGAAAATTATTTATCGAAATCTCTGGAGAATCGCGGCCAATCGCCAATGAACAACAAAGCGGAAGAATGCCGCCTCGACTGAGATGTCCGCCTTTGTCTGGCCGCTTAAAGGGGTGTGGCCTTTAAAAACAAAAACACCAGCGGCCGAAGCTTCTAAGAAAAGATGCGAGGGTAGGATTATGTATTCAATATGTGGAATGCAATTGATTTCAAGTAGGAAATAAATTAAAATGACAGAAATATTCAAGTTTATTTTGTCTATGCAACTATTAAGCAACGATGTGGCCTCTGCGGGGGGAGGCCTCATTGTTGAGAAAACGGTGCAAACGGCAAGTTATTCTTGATTCTGAGATATTACATTGGGTTTCTTAGGTTTCTAAATAATTAATAAATAAGGATTTTATATACCAAAACCTCTGAAGTAATAGAAGTAATTAATTTAAGTCACCTTACCCTGCCTGGCTACTCCTTAATATACCTTTTAAATCCTTATCCTTACAGATATTAAATATGGAAGATGATTCAAATTGGTACCGTGCCGAATTGGAAGGAAAAGAAGGCCTTATACCCAGCAATTACATTGAAATGAAGAATCACGAGTGAGTTGAAACCATTATCCTTGAAACGAAATGCAAACTAATCACAAAATCATATGCGTATAGTTGGTATTATGGCCGCATCACACGCGCCGATGCCGAGAAGCTGCTGTCCAACAAACACGAAGGCGCCTTTTTGATACGCATCAGTGAATCCAGTCCCGGCGATTTCTCCTTATCAGTCAAGTGAGTTGATTTCTTTCTCATTTACTTGATGCATCCACTGACCTTTGATCCATCTCTGGTGTTTCATGACAGATGCCCCGATGGTGTTCAGCATTTCAAGGTTCTGCGCGACGCCCAAGTCAAATTCTTCCTCTGGGTGGTCAAGTTCAACTCCCTCAACGAACTGGTTGAATATCACCGGACGGCGAGCGTGTCCCGGTCGCAGGATGTTAAATTGCGTGATATGATACCTGAAGAGGTGGGTGCCGAGGCCGGGGTTCCGCCTTGCATGTGGCGGGCAGATTTATTTTAAAAACACACACACACACTGTAGATTGAGGTCATGTTTTTGCCCGTCCGACGCCCACCACATCTGAACTATAAACAAAAACAGTGATGATGCCAACTCGGAATATAAATGATTCTCACGCTCTCTCTTTCCCCTTCTGCTTTCTATGTTGCAGATGCTCGTGCAGGCGTTATACGATTTTGTGCCACAGGAATCCGGCGAATTGGACTTCAGACGCGGCGATGTCATCACCGTCACAGACCGCTCCGATGAGAACTGGTGGAACGGCGAGATTGGCAATAGGAAAGGAATCTTCCCAGCAACTTATGTGACGCCATATCATTCATAATAAGATAACATATAAGGATGTGGATGCACTCGTCTCTCCCCCGACAAACACAGCAACACACAGCAACTGCAATAACAGCAAGAAGGAACTAAACACAAATTTTAAATATTTATATACAACAAAAATCGAGAGGACGAGTATAAAATCAGTAGACATCGTATATACAACACACAAACACAAGTCTAAGCCTATATAAGCCGAATAATGCATTTTTTTACGTTTTGACGTTTTTTGATAAAACAGCAAAAAGGAAATACAATACGATAGAGAGAAGATAAAACATTACAAAATCGTTTCATAGCCACTTAGTAGGAACAACAGAGAGTGACAGAGAGCAACAACCGAAACTACTTGCACTTTACAAGTCTAAACTAAGATATGTACATTTATTTGTCTGTCTATAGCTGCGGCCGAGAGCAGGAAGCACTCTCTGTCTCTGACAGAGGTTAGCTCACTTGGCCGCAACTATAGGCCCATGCAAATATGTCTGCATACAAGCTGGCACTATTATTATTATTGTAAACAAACGGATTTTTGATATAAATATATTATATATATATGTAATTTAAGTTTCGATAAAGTGAAGAATATTTGTCCTGTGCTTCGAAGCGAGTCTCGAGTGTGCTCTTTAGTTTATTCGATGTGCGAGAGGGAGTAAGCACTTTTATAATTATGATTACGAATTACACAAACAAAAACTATAATGCTTAAAAACAAATTGATAGAGAAAGCGAAACAAATTCACTATTAAAAGGAAGAAAAAACGTTTGCCTAAATGTCTCAAAGCTGAAGACAATTAAAACAAAATTTATATTATTATATTACCATGTAAATTAAATTAATTTTTGCATCGCTGGTTACTATATACATACATACGCACGCATCTATAATTAAAAGATATGTATCGAACGATATTAGGCCTCGGCTGCACATGCACTCGATTATTGTCATATGTTTAAACTTTGTCAGTCGCGTTCTCTGTTATTCTTTTATTTTATTTTTAATTTTTTGTATCCCGTTCTCTCTCAACTCCGCCACCAACTCGATTATAGATGAGAAATAAATCATTTGTGTGACATGTGTAAAAAGTTTCAAACAGCTGCTATATATATATATCATATTGTGCTATAAATTAATAAATTACTACTACTATTTATAAAATAAGGTTGAGTGCGGCCTTTTTTCACAGCCAGGAGGCGACAGTTGCACGTTCAAGAGCCTTTTTCAGCCACATAACTACATAATTATATGCATAAACAAATGTAATAATGAGAGTTGCCAATATATAAAGTAATTGAAACAACAAAATGCGAAAAAAAACGAAAACATTTTAAGCCTATTTTTTTATCTACATATATTATATATATCGAATACCATTATACATTTTTCCTAATATCCACCAAACTAAGAAACAAACGCGATGAAGACGATGCCTCAAGGACAGAAAGTGAACAAGAACACATCAAAAATAACTTTTGATAGGCCATAGTTTATAAACATAAGCCACAATAAATAAGGGGCAGCTGGACGCGCGACTTTTGTACTTTTTGAGCATTTAGAGCTGGCGTTGAGCGAAACACATTTCTCGGCCCAGAACCAGTAGAAGCCGCATATTTAAACATAATTTTCAAATCGTAACAATAAAGCAGGCAAATGACAAGGTTTAGATATTAACTAAAAGCGAGAATACACACACAAATGAAATGAAATGCATACGGTATGTTAAGTTGAGGACGTAGTTTAAGCAAACAAACTGATTTATCTAATAAAAACTATGATATATATTTGAATTCGATTCCCTTGGGTTGAAAGTCGAGTATTATCGATAACTACATTAGTATATTTTTCAGTGACATTAAATACCAAAGATTCTTTTATCTCAACAGCAAACAAACTTTATTAAGAGCAGGTCTGTATGAATGTTAGTTTATACATGAGAAATATGTAAAATGTTATCAAGTCGTGTAAAATATAAAATAACAGCTTCGGGATTCAAATATCAAAAAATACCAAAAACATATATTGATTTAGTGGTATTTTGATATATTTTCGACACACAAAAGCGACCGACACCCAAGAGCAGCTGAGAGAGAATTCTGTTAGTTAACATCCACCCGACAGCACCCTAGAGAGCAGAGAGTGGGACATGTTACGTATTTTACATTTAACAGAGGGTTCTACCCCAAAAAGTGAGAATTCGACCCCATGTATCTGTAAACGTGTAAAAGAGTTTCCTAGACGTGTAAGATGTAAATGTTAAACAACAGCTTCGGATTTTAGAGTGACCAAAACAAAAATACCAAAAAATATCAAACAAAAAATATAGCAACTTCGATATTTGGGTAAACAAAGTATCACTATCACATTATTCTCAAAACAAATTTTAAAACAAGCAAAAGTTTATTATTATTTACCAAAGTAAGTCAAAGTCAAATGGAAATAAGAAAAAAGTAGACGGTCGTCCAATTTAGTTAATTTTGCTAAGTAAACATACAAGTGCAGTGCGCGCAACCGACATACTCACAAGGCCGACCCCGATAAAGTTTTCACCGACGCAAAGAGAGCCGGATCCGTAGTTTCGCCAGCTCAGCGCCCCACGTGTGGAAATCTTGCCAGGAAAGCCCCAAGGCACACACACTCGCGCGAATTCCTATATACAAGCGCGTAGCAAGGAACACGTATACAAATGCGCGCGAGGGAAAAGCGCTAGGTCAGAGGAAAGTGAAAAGTGAAAAGCGCGTGCGACAGCAGCACTCAGGGATTAGTCAACGTAACCGCACGTAACCGAGCAAGATGCCGCTGCTCGCGTACCGGGAGAAGCACATCCTCAGCGCTCAGCAGCTTCGTAAGCTGAGCGAACACAAGTACTCGTGCTTCAGTGCCAGCCTTCTCGATCCGCTCCTGCAGCCCTGGTGGAACTGGCTGGTGGCCCAGACGCCCCTCTGGCTGGCCCCCAACCTCATTACCATCGTGGGTCTCATTCTCAATGTGGTGACGACGTTGATATTAATTTGGTAAGCATTTCTCTTCCTCTAAAAAGCGAACAAAAAATGCTAAATGCAAATGCAAGCCGGCCAGCACACTCTCTTGCTCTCTCTCTTACTCTCGACCCTCGAAAATCGCAAGTTTTTTACTAGTTTTGTTGTTGGCTTTTCATTGCCGCCACCGCTAGCTTTTATTTGCGAGTATATTTCCATCGAAAATATGCGGGGATTAGTGGTTTTGTGCATCAGCTGTTGCCTTCAATACATTTCCCATTACCTGTCACTCTCGTTTTTTCTCAATTTTCTCTAAAAGCGGGAAATTCTTTCGAATTCGGAGCATTTTCGTACAATTTATTGGCTATTTTCATTGAATATTAGTTAAATTAGTTATTCTACAAAGTTGTATAGAAACTCCTTTAGTTTTTCAGGCTTTTTTACGCATATTTTTGCTATTAAATCCACTTGAGATTATTCATGGTTTTTAATCAGCAAAGCTTGCTGCCCAGCTGTTAAAACAGTTTACTTTAGTTTTTTGGTGCTTTATTGTTAAAAAAATATTTAAAATGATTCAAATACATTTTTCACTCTGTTTCTAATGCAGGTTTTAAAGAGATTAATAAATCTGAACACTAGATTCTCTTTTCAAATATCCCACTCCTATAAAACACCCCCTAAAATGACAAATTCAATCAGTTATCGATACAAAATCAAATCAAAATTAATTCACAATAAACACAAAATAAAACCAAAGAAAATATAGTAAAATCAGGCGACATAGCTCCGTTCGTTTCATAATGCGTAACGATAGCGTATCATGCCGTAACTACAATACTACTAAATAACTGAGCTAGTGGGTGGGGACTCGCCGGAGGCGGGGAGGCGCATACGGGGGCACCACTTGGTCGGACACCAGCAATGCCCGCGATAAGATAGCGAGGGCGTCTCGCCACTTTTCCCCCATTACACACAAACTGAGCGAAATATAAGTAATCGCAATTATCGTTGCTTGTCGGCGGCTCTCTGCCTGTGACGCATTTCTTTAGTCCGCGAAAGAAGGCTACTTAAAACGGATAAGTAAATAAACAAAGACTAATCTCTCTCACTGAAGAAATACTGCATTGAACGGTGAAATCCTTGTGCAGGTGTCAGAGCCGTTAAAGAGAATTCCCTGGGAGCGCCAAGACACAAGGTTCAGTCGAGTTAACCCCCGGGGTCGGTCACATTTCCATTTTTCCAATTGTTTGACGCTCAATTGGGATTGCTTTTTCGCTGTCTTCGTATACCTTTGATTGAATTAGAATGACAATTTGCATATGTAATTGATTTTTATGGGTCTAACTAAAAACTAAAGTCCAACATTTAGCCATGATTCGCTCCGTTAAGCAGTTTCTTTTTGCAGCACCAGAGTTGTAGCAATTACAAGAACTATATTTAGAGAGATATTACTTTCACTTCGCAGCGGTGAAAACCTTGAATTTCTAAAGATCTAGGCCGAGTGATCTTTCTTACTTTGTTTTTCGTTGTTAAAAAGAGGTGAACAAAATCGTAAAACGCTGAATTGTCTGTAATAAGTAATAAGTAACACCTTTTTGCGAGTGTGTAAAAATGACTAAAAGGGGCAAAAGTCAATTTGTATATAATTATTACTATAACTTTTCCATAGGCTTTGAGGTAGCAACGAGCATCTGGCCCACGTGCCTCAAGTCTTTCCCCTTTATGGCCTGATTTGTATGCCAATCAAAGTACCCCAAATGTCACTTACTTTCAGACAGATGATTCACCTTCATTGCTCTGCGTTCACGTGTCTGGTTATATTATTTTTAGACCATATAGTACACAGTATAGGATCTATGTATTCATTCACAAACCGTCGCCAAAGCCAAAAGAACCGACCGGTTTATTATTCTACATTTGTTTGCACTTTTTTCCGTTTGTATTTGTTTTAATAATTTTTTTGTTGTTCAGGCAAAATAAACTGTTGCCAGCCCCAGTACCCCCATAGTTGCTGCTGATTTTAGCTGAACTTGTCTAGGTCAGTGGGACTCGATAAAGCAGCAGTGTCAGCTTTTGGAGGATGATTCAGCTGGAATCAGGTGGTTTAGCTGACTTGGACTTCACTTTGGGCTCCAAGCCGGAACTTTAAACTCGGCTGGCTTGGCGACATTGCCGCCGAGGTGATAGCGAATAATTCTCGGTTATCTGTTGAGCAGCAGCTGCAAACAAGTGAAATTTGTATTTTTTCTTTTTGATAATTAAGACACTCAGCAGCTAGGGAACTTTGCTCATCAGGCGATCCTATGCTCACTGACGTCAGACCCTTGCGGGTTTGGGATTGGGAATGGGAATGGGCTGGTGGCTAATTGACTTGGAAACGCACGAAACGCTCAGGCATTTCTGATTGCCTCGCTTAGCTGTTCATTATTCATTTACAAGACCTTACACACAGCTAAATAACAATAATTAAATGTATTTCAATACATTTAAAGAGCTGGTTTATAGAGCAAGTTGTGTTTATATACTAAGATTCTTATTATTCATACAATTTATTTACATGGCCTTATCAAGTTTTTTTTGTTTTTTTCTATACTCAAGCTATTGAGCTTTTACAATAATCTGCTGTTCCACATAGTCTCAGCTATAATCAGGGTCGTTTCCCCCATCTTAAGTCGAGTATCATGGGTTATATCTATAATTAACTTACGTATTTTCATGTTATTCCTATACACAGCTATAGTCCGAATGGCGTGGAGCCTCCACCGCGTTGGACCTGTTTCCTGTGCGCCCTGGGTCTGTTTATTTACCAGAGCTTGGACTCCATCGATGGCAAGCAGGCGCGTCGCACGAATACCTCCTCGCCGCTGGGCGAACTCTTTGATCATGGCTGCGATTCGATATCCACAGTGTTTGTGGCGCTGTCTGCGTGCGTATCCTGCCAGCTAGGACACTATCCCAACTGGCTTTTCTTTCAGGTGAGTGCTACAGAATATTCAGAGCTTCAGGAGACTAATTCGTGGCTTCTCTTTCAGTGCTTCTGCGCCATAGCTCTCTTCTACTGCGCCCATTGGCAGACCTATGTGTCTGGGACTATGCGCTTTGGACGAATCGATGTGACGGAGGCTCAGTTCTCAATCATCGCCATACACCTGGTATCGGCTGTGCTGGGGCCCGAGATTTGGTTGACCAAGGTAGGAGAGGTCTCTTAAAGACTCGCCGCAGATCGAAAGCTCTTTATTTCCGGAAGTTTTTTGCGTTACCCTTTTACTTTTATTGAATATTTAAGCGTACTTTTAAGAGCGTTATTATTTTCGTTACGTTTACCTTAGAGCTTAGAGTTGATGTTCCAGTTTTACGATGCTTAGGCTTAAGCTAGACATCTGCAGCTCGGCGCAGTGGCTGCTTTAAGTTCTGTTCTGTTGAGTTCTAGTCGAATTTTTGTGTGCTAATTGATTTAGTTTTGAGTTTCGGCGTTAAACCCAATTATATATTTCCTCAGTTACTCAGCGCGGATGCTCCGATTGGGGTTAGGTTCCTGAGCCCAGAACAGAACACACAACTAGGCGTGTTTCTAATATATATATTTATATATTCTTTAACCCGATGTTGTCAGTAATTGTAATTGTCTAATAACTTCTACTTCTATGTACATAAACGCTCTCTCTCTCTGAAATGCCAACAAAAATGCCTGTTGCAAACAAAATACTTACAAATACTACACATAATACACACATAACACCTACAGATCGGCATTGGCGGCATAGAGCTTTGGTATGGGCCGGCAATGACGACCATTGTGTGCGGTCTGCTCTCCCTAACTTATGTATTTTCCGTCATTAAAGCCGGTGGTGTTGGCAAGAATGGCTCGACAGTTGCTGTAAGTCCTAACACAACACAACACAACACTTAACACACAGAACACAATAATAACACACAAACACACTCTACCCACACACTCGATACACAACAAAAACTATTTTGGCTCCTCAAAATTAAAGGAAAAACTGATTTGATTTCGAGATTTTCGCTGACCAGCTCAGCTGAGAGTTTCCAAGGAAGGTGCGTGGCGTGAGGATACTACCCTTAACCCCCTCAATCCCAAAATATTTAACCCCAAACTGCCCAAAATGCTTGCCTATTTAATTTGTGCCGTTGTTGAAATACTTGTTCATGTGTCTTTGGTTTAAAAGGCGAAGAAGCTGCTGCAAAAATAATACTCCTGCTTTATATTTGGAAGCTAGAAGCGAGAGCATGCCCGATAAATAAACAAAAACAAACACAAACAAAAAAACACACACACAATTAAAATAATAATAATAATAATAACAAATATTGGCGGCTGCTGAATGCAACAAATTTAAGTTAATAAGTAGCTATTTTTTTATAAAAATTAATCTATGTATTTGCCCTGTCCCACTGTCCAGTTTATATATTATACATACATATTTACTCTCTTTTATGTCTATATATATTTATACATCGTCTTCCGGTTACGGATCTATTATTACCCTCTTAACCTTAACCCAAACGACGTAATCTTTACTATTATTCTCTATATGTATTCTCTTTAAGGATAGATCGTAAGTTAACTGAGACCCGAAACATTTTTTCCCCTCATCCCCCAAGTCGAAGAATATTCTAAATTTTATTATTGTTTTCTCTTGCAATTCTTTCATCTTTACTTAGATACCAATCGTGGGCCTTTCATGGAATTACACAATATTAGTATTTATCACGTTCGGTTATACCTTGAATATAATCAATTTCTTAAAAATGTTCACTGAAGGCGGCAGTGGCAAAAACGGCTCCTCAGTTGCTGTAAGCATACATGGCATCCGCCTCTCATGATAACGATGATAGCGAGGCGAACTATTACTTACCATATCCCTAAATACTAAGACTAAAACACCACAGACTAACTCGATGCTAACTCTGTAGCCTCTACTTCCCAGTCATAATAACATAATACTCCTTGGTTAATTTGCTTTTTGGTTCCTCTACTAATATCCGTTAATGCATTTTCTTTTGGATTTCGATTTGGATTTCGGTTTGCAGTTTTCCACCTCGTTTCGGTGATGGAGGGTCTTCGGTTTGGGCAAAAACCTTATAATAACGAGATGGATAAAGCCCATACATTTAAATTTAAAGCATGAAAATTAGGACAGAAAATAATTGTCTAGAGTTCCTCGTCTCGTCATTATAAGGTCTTTGTCTAGGGCCTCACACTCGCCCTTATCTCTTGCGCTCTTACTTCTCATATATATCGACTAAAACATGTCCATGGTGCACTCGTTACATTGAAAAAAGCATGATGCTGCCGCTGCTTGGGTACAAAATAGTCGTTTAAGTGGTATTATTTACTAGAATATTTATTTTAAAGCACTTATATCTGGTTACTTTATAATAGAAACAATTACTTAGAACTAGTCTTGAATTGGAATCTTAATTAACGTTTAAGTTTTTCATAGGACACACTTGTGTGATCTCAAAAGACTTCTGGAAAAAGCAACAAGTGTTTCAAATGCAATGAAATTTTAATGCGTGTCGTTCTTTTCTTCCCCACGCAATCAATCAATCAATCAATCAATATCGAATTCATTTCCCCCATATAAACCTTGACATTGGCAGCTACCGTACTTCAACTGCGAAACACGATTTTTGCCCCTTTATATGGCCTGCGGCATTGATTTGATACTGACGCTGCGCTATGCAAGGTGTATACTGAGCGACGGCTGTGGCAAGAACGGATCATCGGTTGCAGTAAGAACTAATATACGCTTAAGTACTTCTTGCTGAGAACTCCTCCTACCAGGAGGCACACAAACACTCTCTCTCTTACTATATCTCTCTCGTTGGTCCTTGTCCTCGTGTGCAGTGCGTTTCCAAAACTGGGCCACAATCTTGGTCCTGACGCACTGTAACCCGACTCCAGTAGCGCACTAAAGTTGAGATCCGAATTGTTGCCTTATAGTCCTAGAAATGCTATCTTATACTATCGATCCGCGTGCATGTCCTGTGTTTGTTTGCTAACTACTAACTAATATTAACTATAATTTATGTAGCCTGTAAGTGTCTCCTTTTTGGTGGCTGTTGCTTGGCATGGCATGTTTTGCTGTATTTGTTTGGTAAATTGGCTTGACCTCTGACACATGCATTTTTTGAAACCATAAAACCCACCAATCCACCACCCAACCAACCACCCGTCCACACACCCGCCCAAATAGCGCTAGACTGTGTAAATAAAAACATGTAATAAACCAGAAATGTGAGCGCACTTTGCCCTCTGGCAAATTCCAGAGGGGAAAGTGCCCTAAACACATACAAAAACCAAAAAAGCCAAAAGAATTTTTGTTCTCTCTCTTTTGTTTGTGCACTCAAATTGTTGTGACTTTTGCAAACTGTGCCGTAAATCACTATTAACTTGTGAATCTCGTTCCGAGTCAGTCCTCCTCCGACGGCTACACTTTGCAAAGATTGCAACAAGAGCCCCCAGTAAACCGTCCCACTAATCCAATTTTCACTTTCCAAAAAAAACACAGGGCACTAGTGTGCTGTCGCCGAGCATTCCCCTTACGCTGGTGGTGCTACCCGCCCTGATGATTGCCCAGAAGTCGCCGCAGAACATCTTTACCGAACACGCTTCGGTGTACATTCTGGCTTTTGGAATGGTGGCGGCCAAGGTCACCAATAAGTTGGTGGTAAGTTGGGTTAATTCATCAGAGGTTACAAAAGTCCATATAAATCCACTTAAATTGTGCTCAATTCTGTTAATTAATCCGCATTAATCCCACAGATTGCCCACATGACCAAGTCGGAAATGGATTACCTGGACTGGTCACTGCTCGGCCCCTCGTTGCTGTTCCTCAACCAGTACTTTAACTGCGTCGTCCCAGAGATTTGGCTGCTGTGGTTTACCCTGATCTGGGGCACCCAGGATCTTCTGCGCTACTGTGCACAAGTCTGCCTGGAGATCTGCCAGCACCTGCGAATCGATCTATTTCGGATCCCGTATACGCCCAAGGGCCAGAGTTTGCCCTCACATCCGGCCACCGCATCCGTGAGCAGCCAGAGCAACTTTGGCGGCGGCGGCAGTGCGGACAAGAACGGCGGCGCAGCGCATCGAAAGTCCAAGAGCAAACCGCACTAGATACGGCATCAACGCCGTCGCCGCTACATTAATTAGTTTTCTTTTTACCAATTAACGTCGTTAGAAAGATGTGGGGGGCGGGGGGAGGATGATTATACTCGTAGGAGGAGTTGCAGTTGTCGCAGGAACTAAAACTACAAGAACCGTAAACACAACCCAACAAAATTCACCGTCGTCAATGTTTAAACAAAAGTATAGCTAAACGAAATAAAGCAAAGTCGGATAGAGAGGAGCCGCGATGGCTAAGCAAAGTGTTGCTCCTAAATTTTTAGAGTTAGTTTACAACTTGTGTGTTGTTGTAGCAAATGTGGCAGGTGGCTAGAAAGAAGGGGAAGGAGAAACAGAACTGTTGCAGTCTCCTCCTATATCAATTATGAATGGCTATATATATATAAAAATATACCTATAAATATACATATATTTTGTATGATTGTGTAAGTTGTAATAAATCTAGATGGCAGTATTTTTACTGTGCTAAAAACACTCGACACACCCAACACACACTTGTGCGAATGCCAAAAATGAAAGATTAGTAGTCCAACCTAAGCATGGCAAACATATACACGTTTTTTGGCGCAATGAAAGCTCAATTTACGTTTAAGACCGATCTATCCATCCCACGAAAAAAAAAACAAAAACAAAGACAGCTATTATATGTCCTAGCACATGCAATCCTCGGCCGACCGAGCCTGTCGGTAGTCTATATCTATTCATGTTACTCGTATTTAGTGCTTAGTTTCCTACTCATTAGGGCCGTGACATTCTAAATACCTGTCCCTATCCTAATTCTAGGCCCGAAAGCGTTCCTTTCTTATGCATCCTAGCTAAAAAAAAAATAAAAAATCCCTACATATATATATTTGTAGCTCGCTCGGCTCGGTTCCGGCATTCTTTATAGTTAAACTATTATGGTTTATGTTTTATGTTGTACAAGAAGACGAAGAGCAAATTGAAGACGAAAGAAAACACTACAAATAAAACAAAATGCAAAACTAACATTTATATTCTTTATAATGGTTGGATATATTATGGCAAATAACTAAAACAAAACAAAGTTTATATTGATGCAATATAAAAACAGATAAGGCACAAGGTTACATTTCTTCACTGATATTCATTTCACTTACAAACTAATTTTAAATACTTTTAAACTATTAGTAAGATGGATAATAAGGACAGAACGATGGTAAAATGTATACATACATATGTATAAACAAAAATCGGAAATGTATTTGGTTATAATCACGGTGCCAGTCCGCTTGTTAGCTATCCTTGTATCTTTGCTAAGATATCAAACTTAAACTATGGGAAATAATTGTAGAAACCAAGCTTAGGAACGGCAATTTTCTATTATATAGGCAATCAGTGCCATGTCGCGCACCTCCAGTGTCACACGGCCGCGATGATGGGTGAGCATGTAGGCGTCCTCGAAGCGATGCGTCAAATAGAGCTCCGAAGACTCTTGCAGCGCTGCCAATGCGCTCTCGGTGATCCTAAACGGCGGATTGTTACACTTTATCATCAACTCTCGCACCAATCGAGCGAACGAAAGGCGGGGTATTAATGGCTCAGTAGATGACCGCAGGCGTCTGATCTCTCGTTCCATCTGGTTGGCCCTGCTCAAGGGTCCGCGCTGTTTTCTTCGTCTTGGTGCTGGGGCTGCTGCTCCTGATTCGCCTGCCCCGGAGTTCTGCTGCAGCCTGGCTGCCGGTGGGCGATTCTCCTGATCTTCTACTGCGCGTCTTGTATGGCGATTCGAACGTCGCAGCGTGGAGGAGCTTTGGCGTTCCTCATTGGCGCCATGCAACGAGAGTCGACTAGTGGCGGATTCCAGGTAATGGTCGAGCTCCTGCATGGAACCGGAACTGTCTGTGCTATTGTCGCCCTGCGACTCTCGGACCCTCAGAGGTCGCATGCTTTAACTTTATGTACTATGACAATTGTACGTTTTTTTTTAAATGGTTCCAATGTGACTGTATAATAAAAGTATAAAGTCGCTTTCTAACACTGGTTGGTCAGCTGATGGCCCGATCGGTTACACTCTCCAATCAGTGTAGACAGTTTAGACTGGGAATCGATGTGTCTGTGAGCTATTTTTCCCATAGTGTTACAAAAAAAAATAAATACATAAAGAGACAAACTGAAGAATGCGTGCAGTTCCGATAGAAATCGATATATTTCAATGCTTTTACCATGTCAGTTTCATTTCGTAGCATTGAACACTTAACAAATAATTTTTAACTGAAAAATAGCTAAGTTCCCAACACTGTTATCAACACTAATGGCACTATCTATTGGATTTGTTTACATTTCTTAACAATTTCTTAATATTGCTCAAATTTTTAAATAGTCAAGTGCTAGGCGGTACTAAACATGTCGGAGGACCATGGCAAGGACTATACGCTGGAGGGTGACTCCGAGCTGCGTTTTGAGATCGAGCAAAAGGACGCCAAGGTGTTGGTCTCCGTAAGTAAATAGTTTCCTCACACTTTAGGCATGCTCCCTAAAATTCTACATATTGTCTTTCCGTAGCTGGTCAGTGGCTTTGCCGAGCTGTTCGGCACCGAGCTGGTGAAAAAGAAAAAGTACGAGTTCGGTTTGGGTGCCAAGGTGGCCATATACACCTTTCAGGGCTGCGTGCTGCACGTCTCCGGCAAAATGGACGTGTGCTATATCTCCAAGGAGACACCAATGGTGCAGTATGTGAATTGTCATGCGGCACTGGAGCAGTTCCGCGCCGAGGCGGAGGAGAAGGACCGCCGCGGTCCCGTCGCCATGGTCGTAGGTCCCATGGACGTGGGCAAGAGCACGCTCTGCCGCATCCTGCTAAACTATGCAGTTCGTGTGGGTCGTCGGCCGCTATACGCTGACCTGGATGTGGGCCAGGGCGCTATTGCCATATCGGGCAATGTGGCCACCATACTTATCGAGCGACCTGCTAGTGTGGAGGAAGGGTTTCCCAAGACAGCGCCGCTGGTTTACCACTTTGGTCACAAGTCGCCCGGCGGCAACAGCGTCCTGTACAACGCCGTCGTTTCGAAGATGGCCGAAGTCACGCTGCAGTCTATGAACAATAATAAGCGCAGTAAGTGCAAGTTCAGAACGATTTATGGATGTTTTTAATTAGAGGAATCCTTGCTTTTTTAGCAAAAAGCTCTGGAATTATAATCAACACCTGCGGCTGGGTGAAGGGCTCCGGCTATGCCCACCTTTTACACGCTGCCCAGGCCTATGGAGCCTGCGCCATCTTCGTTCTCGACCAGGAACGTCTCTACAACGAGTTGCTGCGCGACGTTCCCAAGAGCGTCAATGTGGTTCTGCTGCCCAAGAGTGGCGGTGTTGTGGAGCGCAGCAAAGAGCTGCGCCACGAATCACGGGATCAGCGCATCAAGGAGTACTTTTATGGCAATGCCCGCACTCCCTTCTATCCGTTCAGTTTCGAGGTGAAATTCCAGGATTTGCGTCTGTACAAGATCGGAGCACCACCGCTGCCGGACTCCTGTATGCCCATTGGCATGAAGGCAGAGGATAATAAGACAAAAGTGGTGGCCGTCACGCCCACTCCCGCCCTCATTCATCATGTGCTGGCGTTGAGCTTTGCCGAATCCGTGGAGGACGATGTGATTGGCACGAATATCGCGGGCTTTTGTTGCGTGTAAGTTATTGAGATTTGTGGTTTCTGCATTCTTTTCGTTTATATGTGATATTCTGTGGGATTTCCAGCACTGAAGTGGACATGGAACGGCAGGCAGTGATGTTGCTTTCTCCGCAACCGCGACCGTTGCCCCCGAATGCCCTGCTCCTGTGGTCGGAACTGCAGTTTATGGACAACCATACATAGCATTTGTAAATCTTTTAGTTTAGATTATTTGGATTAAGTATGGGTTTTAATGGAAGTACATAATCTTTTCTTTGCTGTTATCCTTAAACAATTATAAAGTCTGCAGTGAGATAAAAACAATAACGCATTGAATTTTAAAACATTTTACCTTTTTCTTAGCAAGGTTTTTACTAATTCAATTTAATATACACATATATATGAAAATAATCAAACTATTGGAAACATGTGTACATTTAAGCGTTTTTTATATGAACTCTAAATTTTATCATACAATTTAAGGAAAACAGGCTTAATGTTAATGTTATAAGACGAATTACAAGACGAAAACTAAATGTAGTACTTTGTTCTTTTTCATTTCGTTATAATTTGGTAAGCTTTTGATAACAATAATAATGTTTCCAACCGTTTGAATTAAAAGTTTACATATTTTTAAATATGTTTCTTGAGAAAAAACAGGAGAATTGTATTTATGCCTTATTTTCAGAATTCTGATTAGAATCAGTAATAAATGTAACATGGTTTAAGAATTGGCTAGATTAAATTATTCTCAATTTATATATGTTTGAAACTCCTTTAGAAATGTAACAAGAAATTATAAAAAAATACTTAAAACATCTTAATATATATATATATATATATATATTTTGACATTTTGTTTAGAACTTGTTTGAACCAAGCATCGATGTTCCGATACGATAACAAAATATCGATAGTTCCTGCAGTAGTTCTGGTCACACTGCTTGAAGGGTTTATTGAAAGTCGTCATTGCGGTCACACTGTTCGGGAGAGCGAGACGAAAACACGACGAGGCAACGCGAAGTGGAAACTCTGTGAAAAGTAAATCAAATATTTACAAAATAATGTAACCACAAAATGGCTACTCTCGGTCTTAACTTGTGCGCTAATCAACTAATTGCGGGCGTCCGAGTTTAATTAATGCACTTTAAGTGGCCCTGAAACGATACTAGTGCGGAATTCGGCGTGTTTTTCGGGTTTGTTGTGTAGCGTGCGAGCTGTTGTTGTTTTTGTTTCTGTTGTTGCTCTTGCTTCTGCGGCTGTCGTAAATGTGTATAGAATGGTTCTAAAAACAAAACAGAGCACACAAGTAATTCCAAAAGATTCGATTTCGGTTTTTCGGGCATCTAAATTTACGGCCTGCCCGAAAGACATGTGTGCGTGCGTGCGAGTGTTGTGTGAGAGTGTTTGTGTGTGTGAGTGTGGCCGTGTTTGAGTTTCCTCTCTGTTGCTCCGTTCGCTTTGTTGCTTTATTTTCCAAGCGGCATTTGTTTTGGTTGCGTTGACGTGAAATTTTCCACTGGAAAGTGCAGCAGCGCCTTTTTGGGGGTTGCATACACACGCACACTCACACACACCATTAGACAGTCGCCGGCTTGTTGCGTCGCCGTCAGCGGAAGGGAACATTAATTACTAAGTCCGCGCGCCGCCTTATCGTTTACAGTATTTCAATTTAGCAACCAGGTGGCGCGGGTGGGTGAGAGGGAGGTAGCAGTCAACCACACACAGTTGCACAATTTCTTATCACTCGCTACTTTATGACAATGATGTCAACAACAATGGGTGCAAACGCACGCACAAACACACACAATCAAATAATCAAAGCAAGAAAGGCGATCGCACTGGGCAACAAGGGGGATATACAAGTTTTTCAAATATTTTTTGTTAGATATTTTATTAACGCAAGAAAGTAGGAAAAATAATGGGTATTACTATAATAGATAAATTAAAATAAATTAAAAATAACAATTTCAAAAAAGTAAAATTAGTTTAAGAAAGCAACAAAAGCAAGATAAAAACGGTAAAACAAATGCTCCAAAAACGATAACTATATTTAACGCGACTAAAAAATAATATTTAAAATAGTTCAACAACTAAAATTCAAACAAAATCTCATAAATTCCGCGCAAAAGCTGACTGCACAAAAAATAAACCACAAGTCTTACTTAAAAAAACATATAATTAAAGTTAAATGTAAAAACAAAACTAAATCCTTTGACAAAAGAGTCCCATGAACAAATAATGAAATATAATTAAAAATAGTTTCGTTCCCTTTTCAACTTGCAGTATTTTCCTTAACTATTATGTGCGCCTAACAAAAGACTTAACGATCGGTTCGCGTTATCGATTCTCTCTATATATTTTTGCGCCAAATGTCTTAGAATTTGAGAGATAGTGCTTCCAAAATAAGATGGCTCTCGAGCCACACATAAAGTCTATAATAAAGTCTGCTGAAATCGAACCACAATTGTGCCAAGTTACGACGACAAATGATGTGACAACGAAAGCGCAGAGATGCGCCTATACGAGCGCGGGTGCAGGACGGCCAGGTGTGCTGCTGACGATCGGCTTTCTAATGATTTGCTTTGGCATCTCAAACAGTTGGCAATACAAAAATGGTGAGTAAAACTGAACAAAAGGTTGCGTTCCCTCAAAGAAAAGAGCTTGATGGCATTTCGATTAATTTGACGAGCTTTGAAAGGTTGCGATTTGTCAAAGGAATTGATGGTACTTTGTGGTGGGTGTTTGAGCGGGACAATTGTAACACATACACACAAGTTCATTAACACAGCGAAAGAGAGAGGGAGGCAGGTAGAGATACTTTGTGTCAAAGGAATCTACAGTTGAGGTCACAAAGTTATAGTCTTGCTTCTTTTCTTTTTAAGAAAATAGGATAAGGATTGGTATGAAAATGTATTTTTAAATGACAATTTTTCGACAAATCAAAGTTTAAAAAAATTCAGAAAAAAATCATTCATTTTAATTCGGAAAGCTTTACTATGTTCGTTTTTATCAGAGTAATAAATCTGCATACTTAATTTAAAATTTAAGAAAAAATAAAAATTTGTATCAATGTTTTGACAGTTTTAACGATGTAACCCCTTATAAAATTTTGAAAAAATTGCAATTTTTTTTTTTCTGAGATGGCTAGATCTATTCAGCTGTTGATAGTGATCAAGAATATATATAATATGTAGGGTCGAAAAAGATTCTTTCCCTGCGTTGTATGCTTCTGACTAAAATTAGAATCACTGCAAGTCTATATTCAAAAGTAAAATAGTGTTAAAAATAATATTAAAAAAAAATCAATGTAATAAGGGTCTTGGGTGATGTTTATAATTTGTTTTTCTTAACCAGATTAAGCTTTTTTATCCGAAAAAGGCTTTATTATTTGAATATACTAGAAAAACCATTCGCCAATTATTAATATTTAATTAAAGCAGTTCTGTCTCTAAGAAATCCCATACAGGGGAAAAAGTTACATCTTTCCGCTATTATTTTGACCATCATTGTTGCCGTAATGGGCGCTGTCTTCCTACTAACACCACCACCACCCACCGCCCCACGAGCATTCCGTTTTATTCCGTTTGTCCGTGTGGTTGGCACTGCACTTGTGAGCTTCCCTCAACCTCTCTCCCTTATTTTTTCCCCAGCCTGCTTTGACATCTCCTTTGCCGCTTTGCGTTTTTCCTTTAAGCGCTTTTCGCACTGTCAAAGGCCCAAAGGCTGACAATTTTCCGGCGCAATGCTTTTATGAATAAACAACTACTACTACTACTTATTTAGACTGTAGTACGCACTCAACTTGATTGCACTGCGCATAATTTAGTGGCCCCCCTCCAGCTCTCCGCACTCTTTTCCCGCGTAGATGCGACGACGCTAATGAGCTGAAAAAAACCTCGCTTCACTAATAATTCAGCAGTTGTAATACGGCAAAGTTGCCCGGTAATTGCCGGCATATTTCAAATGCACAAAGCATTTGGGGGTCCAGGATTTGGGGTTATAATGGGGCACAAAGGCCAGGCTAGGCAGGGCAAGGCACGGGACACTCCACGGGTCAAGTCAATATGGAAATAGTAAGTGGACACAGGCCAACCAAACATCGTTAAGCCCCGAAAAGTGGACGCTCGAGTGTTTGGCTAAAAGATAAGCCTCCCATTCGACAAGTCCCCTCGTGTCCGGGAGTTTCTGCCAGAGCCAGGAGTACGGACTACGGCGTACGGAGTACTCCAGCATGCATTGGGGCGTCCACAAAGCAAGTGCCGCCCGAAAAAGGAAACCCGAAACTTAAATTTTGTCGAGCTCTTCGGGCGCAGTAAAAAAAGCGCATCAAATATGTACACAAAGCTCCGGGCAAACTCTCCATCTTCTTTGGTGCCCTGTGGATGTGCGGATGTATGTGTAAGGATGCATCAGTGGCGTACAAGGGATTCTATTACCCAAGGGGATACTTATGTATTTCTCATAATTTATAAATGCTAAAAGGTGACATATAGTTGTAATTAACTTACGCTTGTGGGAAAAGGGTGTTTTCTAATCGACACATTAGCTTTTTCCTTGATATATGTATTGTATGTCCTTGTACAGCAAACAAATATGGTGAACAGACTCTTTTAAATTATTATAAACACAATTCAATTAATAATTTAGGTTAAAAGTTTAGTTTTAATCACAAATATTAAGGTGTGTCTACTAAATTTATCTTTCGAGAAGCATTTAAGCTCCTATGAAATACCCCTTAATGGTACTACGCCCCTGCTTTTAGTGCTTACTTTCTTTAACACTTTGACGCGCGCACAAAGTGTTTTTTGCCTGCGTTGATTCCCTTCTCCGCTTCCCAAATCCTTCTCCTTCTTCAGCCCACTTTAAGCCTTGTTCTTTTTTGCAGCCACTGACTGTCTGACGTTTTTTCCCCGCTGTCATTCCATGTATGTTGTGGAAGGGGGATTCCCCTAACCATCCTTCGTCCTTTTACGCCAGGGCCCTGCGCTATTTGCTTTAGCTTCTATTTACTACGCCGTAGTACGCCAGTTTAGTAGTAATGGGAGTACTTCAAAGGCGACGGCGCCTTTGACGCCACATCATCCCGTCAGCATTGCCCACCCACTGCATCCTGCCATCCTCCGAATACCCAACGCGTTGGGAGCCCCCCGGGACACACTCGACGTTTCACTGTTGTTGACATTGATTTTGATTTCATTTATGTGTGCACCAGTTTCACAAGCGTTGACATTGGCTTAGAACGACTGTCAACACTTGCGACACGTTCTCTTTCTTTACCGGGTAGAGTCCTTCCCCCAAGGGACTATTATCAGATGGTATTTGCA